GGGGCGTGCGGGGGGGGGGGGTTGTCCTCAGCCGAGGTGCTGAGAACACCCGCCCGCCCGCGTCTGACCCAGTACTGGCTGAGCTGAGCTCTGGGAGACTCGCCGGGAAAGCTCTTCCCCACTGGGGAATCTCGCTGGCTTTGAAGCAAGTATCTGAGGAGCAAAGACAGCTGGTCTGTTGGCTGCTGAGTGGACACTCACTTTCCCCAGCCCCCCCCCCTTCTTCCTCTAGGAATCCAAAGACTCTGGATGCCTGGCCCAGGCATAAGCATCTGAAAGAAGCACTATTGCAAAAGTCAGTGACGTGTGGCTGGGCATCTCTGACCAAGTCCTGTCATGAGTGGAGCCTGGCAACCACAGCAGGGTCTCCGGGCCTGGGTCTGCAGAACTTGGCACTCACCAACATCATTGCTCATGTCTCTGCTCGACCTGGGGTTTGCTGACTATGCACATGCACACATTCCTCTCCTGCAGCTGGTAGGCTAGAAGCCAACTGATCTATAAATACGTGGCCTGGCTCCATGTTCTGGCCCCAGAGCCTCCACATGCTGAAGGACAGTTCATCAACACAGTTTTAAGCCAGAACAAGATATCACTTAGAATATGAAATTTCCTCTGAATTCCAAGAGTGGATTCAATATTTGGACAGATACATGTGATGCTCCAGAAGGGGCATTCAACACTGTCTAGACTTCGTATGACAGCTAGGGAAACTGAGGCCCAAGAAGGCTGGTGCAAGACTGGAAGCCAATGTCTGCCTCCCAGCTCTGAGAGCAACGTGGAGCAGAAACGTCAGTCCATACCTCCCTGCTCCTCCTCCCTGTTGCCTGCGAGCCCACCACTGGAGCCAGGGCTGTGACCAACCAGCCTCTGCAGCCTAACGTGCCACCAGAGACCGAGCTGCCTCCCCGCTGCTGGCCAAGGAATAGGAGGGCTTAAGCCACCTTGGATGTGTGTCCTGGGCCTCACTGAGGGACAGCGTTCCAGGATAGCCCAAGCCACAGCAAGGGCATCACAGGAACAATCTTGTTCTCTTTGGCCTAAGCCTCTTTGGGGCCCTTGGGGGAAGGTGGGGCCACCGGGACAGGATTCCCTGGCGGGGCAAGTCTTACATGACCTCAGCTGCAGCCTGTGTCTGTGTTCTCACCCAGCCCACACGTCCTGGGAGCTGCGCTCAACTACCTGGCAAGCCCTGTCCACAGAGGTCCTCCCAGTCTGTGTGGCCATGGCCTCTGAGGAAGTAGGACAAGACAGGAAAGCTGGCTTGCTCAGGGTCAGGCCTCAAATGTTTCTGGGTAGAGACTGAACCACACCATGGCGGACCCTTCTTGATACCGTGACCCACTGGAACATTGGCTCTTCTTAGGGAACCAGGCCTCAGGTGACTGTCCCTCTAATCTTAGGGAGGGTCCAACAGGTGAGATGTATACCGGGAAAGGCAAGGGGATAGGGGGCACGAGGCAGCCGTTGGCCTCGCAGGCAATCCTCAGACAAGCGTACCCGAAGCATAGGCCTCACTTTGCGACACTGGCACCTCCATGTCAAACTTCTCTTACCAAGGCCCAAGTCTCCCCGTGTGCATCTCCCAGGGACTCTCAGTCCATCAGCTTCTGGGCAGTGGCAGCCCTTCTCCGCTGCCCTGGGCTGCAGCTGCAGGCTCCCTTGAGCCCATGGGTGGGGCTGTATTCAGAGAGGGTGGGGGCTGCACCTGCCTCCTCAGCACTAGATCTGGCACAGTCCCACAGGTGCTCCTAGCCAACACATCTGGAATTCATTCTAAGGCCAGGGGATGGGCTGCTGGGGCAGCAGAGGAAATAGACTGTACAATAAGAATAAAACCTCCGGTTCAGATCCAGACACTAGAACTCTCTGAGGGTTCACAACGGTGCTGTATGCACATGGCACACTGGCAGAAAATGCCATGGGGGCAGTTTTGATGAAGCATCGCTCACGTCTGGCCTCAAAGACACAGGCCTATCTGATAGCCCCCCCAATTGTGTGAACCAGCTAGTTGAAACAGGACCTGAGGTTTCTCCATGCTAAATACTCTTTCACGTACCATCTTCTAGGCAGGGCTCAGGGCTGTGCAGGATTCTGGGCTTCCCAGCTCACTTTATATCCTGTCTCCCCAAGACAAGGACTCTGGTCTCGAGAGCACTGTCTCCTCCTGTCCTACTAGGTCTAGGGCAGCACTTGAGAAGGATGGAGCCAAGAGTAAGTGAGTAGCACAAGCTGTGTGTCTGATTCAGCAAGTTGACTCATCAGTTCCTTTCTTAGGACAGAAATCACACCACTAGGATGCTCCCAAGAGCAAGAGATGACCCCATGACGTTTGAGCGTGGGTACCACTGAGGCAGACGACTGGGCACAGGTTCTTGCACATTGCAAACAACCAGCATGGATTTCAGCACCACTAGGGAACAGAGCGGTGTGCAGACCGCGGCCACCATGCGGAAAGAAGGCCTGGCATGGTTACAAACAGCAGATGTGGTGATGGAGTAGCCTGTAAGGGTGCATGGGGCAGCTTTCCTCAATTTTCTCATGTTTTTCAACGTGTCCAAAAGTCGGGTTACATGTGCCTGTCAGTGTGTCCTTGCCACATGGGGAAGACCACCATTATGCAATCATGTCATGGGCTCTGGACCATGACCCTGTTCCAGGGCTGGTCAAGATCATGGCCCAAGGTTGTGCTGCAGTGCACAGCTATGACTAGAAACAGAATGAGAGAGTTTGAGGTGGGTCGTTGTGTTTTTGTTGTTTTGTTTTGGAGAGAGGGTTTCTCAGTGTAGCCTTGGCTGTCCTGGAACTGGCTCTGTAGACTAAACTGGCCTCGAACTCACAGAGGGCCACCTGCCTCTGCCTCCTGAGTGCTGGGATCAAAGGCGTGCGCTACCACAGCCCAGCTTTCTCTTTGTTTTTTTTTTGTTTGTTTTTTTTTTGTTTTGTTTTTGTTTTTTAACCATGTTGGGGATTGAACCCGTGGTTTCACACATACTAGTCAAGCATTCTACAACAAAGTTATTCCCAGCTCTCTTTTTAATTGTAATTTTGAGACAGGATCTTGCTTAGTTGACCAAGCTGGCCTTGAACTATCAGTTCTCTGGCCCAGGTCTCCTGCATAGCTGGGATGACAAGCCTACGCCAATTGGCTAGATTATGAACATTATTTCTTCCATATCTTATGTGACCACAGTCAGTCTGGTAGGAGACAGGCATAGCCAGTGAGGACACCCCCCAAACCAGACACCTACTTTGGCATTGGCTTGCCTATGATCCTGGGCAGTGTGAGCTCCAAGTCAGGTGTCAGCTCAGCCTGGGCCCTGGCCTAACTCCCAGGCCCCAGGTGAAGATTCCCAGGCAGCCTGGGAGGGCTGGGGAGGTGGCCATGGCCAGGATAGAGTCCCACAGGAGGGAGCTGCTGGAGTTGAAAATCCCATGCAGCTCCCCTCGTGGTGGTCCTGCTGATGGGGGGAGGATATGATCTTGACAGGAGGGGATCTGTTCCCACCTGGTCTGCCTTCCATGAACATCCAAACCACACAGAGACGGAGGCTACGCCAAGCTTCAAGCATAGTGGAAGAGAGACAGGCTTTCCTCTCCTCCGCACATCAGAACCCAGCCCTAACAAAAGCTGGACTCTGGATGCTGACTAGACCACACAAATGCCCCCAGGATGCCCAACCCAAGCTAGAGTCCTAAAACCTGGAGGCTGCCATGTCTTAGGACCCCACCGTGCCACTCTCTCAGACCCTACCCTCTCTGAGCCCAGCAAGCAGTTTTGCACTAATGAGGCAGGAAACAAGCTAGACAGAGAACCCCCACCCCACTTCCTGAAGCCTGGTGCAGCTTCCAGAGGGGAGGCGGAGTGCAGCCTGCGTGGCTGCCTTTATCACCCGTTCTCTCTGGCAGCATCCTCCCTAGCACTCAGCCACTTTGTTTATTGCTGACAGGTCCCAGCCTGGTGCCAGGACGGCCAGCCCCGCTGTGGGGCAGGACTCTCATTCTCCAACTGATGCTCCTCCACACTCTCCCCTCAAAAGCCTAGAGATGGCCAAGAGGAGAGGACAGGGCGTGCCCAACAGTGGCCCTGCCCACCTGCAGGCAATGTGTGTCGCCAGCATAGATCTTTGTTCTTTGGGGACAGCCTGGGAAGGACACCCAGATCCTCTGAACTCAGTTTAGGGAAGCAACCCTCACTCAGCAAGGCCTGAGGCCACTGCAAAGCAGCGGGAAATAAACGATCCAGGGTGACCTTAGAGAGCAAGGCAGCCTTGTCAGGACACACCTCCCATAGTCACCTCTAGGAGTCACTGCCGGTATCTGTGAGCAGAGGCCAGGGTGGTGGCACTTGGTGTATGTGCCATCGGCCCCTCCCTCAGCCTTGAGAAGGCCAGGTGGCAATCACAATGTGTATTTTCCAACCAGGAGATAGAGATCCAGTAAATAAAGCCCTGGAGCTAGGGCTGACTCTAGCTCCTAGAGAACCCTTGAAGTCCAGGGGACCTTGATTAAGATGACATCCATAACCTCGGAAGAGCTGGCCTTTGGCACTTGGCCTTGGACTTCTAGAGACTGGAGTGGAGGTGCACTGGGGATCTGGCCATGCTCCCCGACATCTGCAATACCAGGACGATCACAGGAGACGTGGGAACCTGGAGAACTGTTAGTTGTCTCCAGCCCTGTTGTGTCTAGGGAGGAGGTAATCACCCTGGCTTAGAGGGACACGCTCTGCAGCTTTGAGGACAGGGTACAAATGCAAATGTGTAAGCAATGAAGGCTCTTCCCAGATGAGCCTGGCACATGCCAGCTACCAAGCAGTGGACAGACGGCACAGCATCGTGGCCCCTGACATCCCTCTCTGAGTCCCTCCAGAGCCAGGCTTGGAGGCTGAGGCCCAAGAGATAGAGACTTGCCTTAAGTAGCAGACGCCACACCCACCCCACCTTTGCTAGAAGTTGCTGCCACCCACACCCTAGAGGCTGGTGGCCATGGTTACCTACCAGGTGTCCTGCAGCTCTCACCAGTTGGTGGGTGGAGAAGGGGAAGGCCTCGTTGCTCAGGTCAGCGTCGAGCACATCCTGGAGAATGGCACGGCTGTGAACAAGGACAGAGTGGTCTGTCGGTGAGTCTCACACACGCACATACCTCAGGAATCCCTGGCCAGGGCCAGAAAGGCAGTGGGGCCAATGCTGGGGGGAGGGGGACAACAAATGATACTTATCTAGACCTACATTCTGGTAGGTACACACCACAAGTGCCACCATGGGAGATAGCCACCTTCCTGTGGGCTGTCAGGGCCCGGCAGGGTCTGGAAGGCCAGGTCACGGGTGAGCTCTGGCCTCAGGCTGGTGACTAAAAAGTCATGCAACTGCCAAGCACTCTGGATCTCACCCAAGTCACCACGGTGCTCAATGAGAGACGCTGGCATTGGTGGTCTCTGTTTTACAGAGTCTAAGTTCAAGCTGTAGTGAGCAGACAGTGGCCAGCAGGAGAGCACAAAGACACTCTGGTGTACCACTGCCTCCCTCACCACTACCACCGCCATTGCCATCACTGCCACCACCCCAACTACCACCACCACCACCATGGCAACCATCCTGGGCATCCTCCAACCAGGCCCAAGCGCCCGGTCTGTCACGGGTCTCAGCCTCACGGGCATCACAAGGAGGTAGAGAGATTACTTAGAGTCCTATCCGCTCGTGGGCATCACCTTCTTAAGGACAGGGACTGTACCTAGCTGGGACGTCCCTGCAGCACCAGACCTGCTTTCCCCAAACTGTGTCCCGTCACAGTGGCCCCTACTGCCATGTCCCTTGCACTCCTAAACCCCAGCATGGTTCATGCTTGTACGTTCACTGCGACTGGAAACCGTGTCACGGAGGCACATTCCACCACATTCCTCACTGGTCTCCGCCCTGCAGTCTCCTGTTCCCACCTCCCCACTCCCCTGCAGCCCAGCCCAGGCCCTCCTGCTGCTGAATATATGAAATCTTTGGGGCCCATGCCCCAAGGTCGCCCACCACCAAGCCCACGTGTCTCCTTCCAGGTCACCTCTCCTGTGTCCCTCCACACTCCCGCCCTGCTCCCTGTCGCATTTAGTCCTCTTGACTCAGCCAGCAGTCACCTGCTCCAGGCAGTGCCCCTTGACTTGTGGGTCTGAGTCAGGTTCCCTTCCCAGGGGTCCCACAGGTGTCTCTGTGTGACTACAGCAGGCCTCTGGCATTTTTTTTCTCTCTGCTTGGCACACAATTATCTGGTGAGTGGTACCCGTTATGAGCATCTGGGCTCGACAGAGCAGCAGGGTATGTACTCTAGGGCTGGAAACGCCCTCACTTCTACCCATCAGGGGTCCCAGAGGGCTGCAGCTACTGCTCAGAAGTGCAGCCAGCCCAAATCCCCACCACACAGAGCTGGGAGCTACCACCCACGCCCGCCCGAGGTGCTCAGCCGCTGCCTTCTGCCAAGATCCTTATGTAACCCCAGCCCCGCGTGGTGCCAGCCCTAGAGGTTCAGCTTGGTTCTGCTGCATCCAGACCTCCTGGAAGCCAGGCTCCCAGAGCCCTGGGGCAGCCACACAACAGAGAGGATATACAGGGCTTGCGCTGCCTTCTTCGTGGGGCCTGGGTGCTAGAAACGGCTCCTAAAGTGGGGCTTGAAGGACTGGAAGCTACGCTGGGGTGTCAGCTCCAGAGAACAGCCACCCAGGTCTGCCAAGGCTGCTGTCCTTCCTGAGAGAACAACAGGTGGCCTGAGGAAAAGGTCACCTGGAGTTTTCGGGGCAAGTCCCAGCCCCTCGCATGCCTCAGCCCTGGTTGCCGAATGGAGACCCAGACAACCCTCACAGAACCACAAAACCGTGTGTCCAGTGCCTGGGGCCCATGCTGACAACTGTGCCCATCCCACACAGCGCAAGCGTGTCCCCAGCAACCACAGGAAGCTGTTTGAACTGAATGAAGCTCATTAAATGGGAAAACAGCTGCCAAAAAGGGTCAAGAGCCAGGTAAAGGCTCAGCAGCCATACTGGCTGGCTCAGGGATAGGCAACTCTTCCGAGTGGCAGCTCACATTGTACCTTCCACGACCCAGGGGCTGTGCTAAGCGCTCCCCATATAGGCCCGTAGCTAGGCCTGTTTGTACTGGTGACATTACTGCTCACACGGTAAGGAGGAGAGTCTTCTGGAGGTGAGAAGGAGAGCTGCCAGCCTGGAGGCTGCCACCTGGCTGTCCCCTGGGGCTGTGCCTTGATTTCACTGTCTGGTATCCTCACTCCTTCCCTCCCTCCTCTCTCACCTGCCTCCCCCACTCTAAAAATAACCAGGCCTTGTCCAAGGTCACTATGCAATGAAGCTGGAGTCTCCTGAAGGCCAGGCAGGGCCTCTAGTGCAGCAGGTGGGACTCTATTCCTTCAAGCTGATCTATGGGTTCCAATACACCTGGAGGGAGGGGGAAGGGGCTGGAAGCCACACCCACAGCACCACCTGACCTTGTAGCCAGATGCTAATCAACCGCTCTAAACACTTGTATAAATGGTTTCCCCTCGTTCCCATGTGGCAGCCTTGTAGTGTGGTTTCTTTCTCTTTCTCTCATTTCTCTCTTTCCCTTTCTCTTCCTTCTTTCTCCTCATTCTCTCCCCCCTTTCCTCTCTCTCTGCCTCTCCCTCTCTCTCTCTTTTCTACCTTTTTTCTCTCTTTCCCCTTTCTCCACCCCCCACCCCCAATCTTTGAACTTGTGACTAAAAAAACAAGCCCTTCCTCCCTTAGGTCATTATTTTACAGACATCCAACACAGGAACAAAACACCTACCACCAACACAGCCCGACACACAGCCTCTCTGGAGCATCAGGGGTGGGGGGCCAGGTCAGCTCGGGCTCCACAACTGAGTGTACTTGGTTGGTAGCTGTTCACAACACATTCGCTCTTCCCCTTGATTCCCCTACCCTGCCCCTTCCCCCAAAGCTCTGCCAAAGCGGTCTTTCCAATGTACACGCCTGTTATACATCCTTGTGCCTAAGACCCTCAGTAGCACGCGGGGCCCCCATGAGATCCTGATCCCTCCTGCATTCGTCAGGAACAAGGCTCAGCTGAGAGTTATAGAGTTTCAATGGTGGATGGCCTTGTCAGGCGTACAGAGAGGATAGAGAGGCTTCTCCTCAGCTCTCTATTTGCACACGGGAGTGGGTCGGCTCTGCCCATGTGGAGGGTTGAAGAATCATCGCAGCCAGAGACTCTAAGGGGTCTTCACAGAACACAAGGCTGCAGAGTTAAGCTGACCCTGGTCCAGGGCTGACCTAAGCCTATTACTTTGCAAACTACTCAACCCACGTAGCACCCCAAAGTCGTCAGGTCACCCATGGTTCAGATCAGTGTTTCTGCCCATGGGCTTGCCTGAAGGCTCACCTAGGCGCACCCAGGTAACACAGGTATCAGGTCCCTGTCTCCTCTCACCTGGCTGGGCCCTGGATGCTGAGCATGCCCAGATCTTCAGAACTATCCATAAGCTGGCACCGGAACTTCTGATCCTGCAGAACTGTAGTTATGTGGGACCAGTTGTGTTGGGCCACAGCCCCACCTACGGCCAGGTAGTAGCCATCCCCTGGAGGAGAAGCACAAGGTTTAGAACAGAACCTTGAGACAGAGAACATGGTGAAGGTAAGCCTAAGGGATCCCAGATTTTTACTAGAGAAAGGGTATAGCTTGGTTCCTTCAATGGGTAGTATCAAAGGCTTCCTCCTGCTTCTCAGAGAAAGGGCTAAGACTCTGGTGCCTTCAGGTCCTGCGGGTTCTATCCAGCCTCAACCACTAGGGCTGAGTGGCCTCAGACAAATATTTTTCCCTCTCTGAGTCTCAACGGCCTTACTAGTTTCCATCATTAACATACCCTGTGTCCCTAGGCTCCCTGCCTCTGCCATTCTGAAGTTCACTGGGCCAGGCTTAGAGACGGGAGTTACAGGCAACAGTCCCCTCATGATGGCTAACCCTGATGGTCAATTGGACAAGATCTAAAATCACCTAGGAGGCAGGCCTCTGAGCATGTCTGGAGAAGGGTTCTAGATTCAGTTAATCTGGGTAAGAAGCCCCACCCTGACTGTGGGTGACACCTTGGGATGGGGTCCTAGGTTAAATAAAAAGGAGAAAGCGAGCTCAACACACGCATCTACGTCTCTGATTCCTGACTGGACGCAACGTGAGTCATCTCAAGGTCCTGCTGCCATATTCTCCCTGCTGTGCCCTTGGACTGTGAACGGATGAGCCCCCCCCCCTTCTTTGAGAGGCTCTTGTCACAGCAATGAGAGAAATGGCTAATACAACCTGAATCACCCAGGATGCTAACACACCAGTTTCCCCAGAAGTTCAGGGAGGAGACGTGTGTTGGGAATAGGTGAAACCCACTGTTTCTATGGCCATAGGGCATCCGCAGAGCCACACAGGACCTGGGCCTCCACCCTCGGACACCAGCTCACCTCTGCCAGACATTCTGGGAAACCACAGACTCAAGAGTTTAGTGGCCGGTGGACCCAGTAAAGAAGCTCACCAATCTCAGGGGTCCAATCTGAGACTTAGAGTTCAAAGAGTTGTCATTGGAAAGGATGCTATGACCCGAGGTAGCCAGGTATCCCTGAACCATTGCCTTTACCACCCCCTGAACCGGTTGGAGGAAACATGGCACGTGAGAGGCAGGGTGGGAGGTTTCTATTGTGCCCCCCATCTTTCCAACCTCCTTCCTCGCTGACTCCCACGGGCTCCTCTGCTTCTCAGTGAAGGCCCTCGAAGTCCCTAAGCTTCTGAGCCCTGATCAGTTTTAGGCATCGTAACGCAATTGGAACCGCCTTAGACGGCTGCTGGAAGGAGGCAAAGCCCAGCAGGCACGGGAATCAGGGTCTGGGGAGCAGAATGGCAACATTTACATGCTCTGCTTCCCTTCCCCTTCAGAGGCCCCTTCCTGCCCAGACTTTCCCAAACTCTGGGGTCCTCATCGCCAGCCTTGCAGCCCCCCCCCCACTATGGGACTTGGTTCTATTGAGGTTGCTTTCATCCTGCCCAATCCTCCCCCTTGCTTTCTGCTTCTCCACCTCAACGACCAGGTAATGTCATCTCCTCCCGGAGCCCCTCCCACCCTAACCCCACAGACTTCTGGCCCCGTGCCTGTTCCTCCCTCCAGTCTCCTCACACCAGTGATGCGTCCTAAGAGCATCCTCTGAGCCATGGGTGGCAGAAGGCCTGGTCCCTCAAGCCTGGAGCCTTTATTTTGGAGACACCTTACAAGAATGCACTCGTCCATGGAAGAATGCAGTCTTGGGAGGCACACAGGCTTTGGCCAGCCTGTTCTATTGCACTGTCTGCAGCTTGCTGGCCCCAATGTTCATCCTTCTGAGCCTCTCCATTCCCACCTGTACAATGGGCCTGACTCCAACACAGGGTCACTTAGAGCCTCCAGGGGGCCCACCAAAGTGTCCCTCCCTTCCTCCTTGTGAATAAAAGAGGGAGGGGGAAGGGAAGGGGGAGGAGGAAGAAGGCTCCCTGATCCCTGGCTGGAGTTACCAGAGGATGCTTGAATTCTGGACAGTGTCCTCAACCCCTTGCCAAAGGATATCCCACCGTCACCAATGCCCCCATGCATACTTCAGTCCCCACCCTGTTACCAGCCTGAGTTCTCTACCGGTTGGCTTGAGGGTGATGTGCCTGCTTGCCCCAGCTGCCATCCCCACTTGGCTGCCCTACAAAGACAATGTAAGGCCTGGGACATGGTGAAGGACAGATCCACATGAGCCAAGGGGCACAATCTCACCCCAGACTCCTCTCCACCATTTCCAGGTGTGGGTGTGAGCATTGTGGGTGGCAGGTCTTATATGCCATTTTCATTATGTCGGTGTGTTTCCAACAAGCAGGTACACCTTTGATAATATTAAGAAAAATGAATAAAGATAATTTAAAATTGCTTTCAAGACTGACAGCTGCTTAGTACACAGCCTTGATCACGTGTAAATTGTCACATTCTCTTGACTTAGGGAAGCTCTGAGTCATATGCATAATTAGCATGCATATTAAATATATACATAATGCAACTGCACAGGCATCACAGGACCTGCCAGGGCAGGAGCCATTTCTCTGCTGTTTTGGGCTGTCCCTGGGATCGCAGCCTCGAGAGCATGGGGCTCACTGGATCATCCAGCCTCCCCCAAGCACTTGGCCCAAGGAACTGTGCACAGGGTAGGAAGTACAAGATAAAATGTCACAAAGTACTTGATAGCTTCCAGCAAGGTCCTTATTGCCAGGATGGGAAACAGAAGCTTGGGAGGCCGCACCTAGTCTCTTAGCTCCTCCTCTTAGCTCTTATTCATTCCTGTAGCAGCTGGGGGAGGTGGGTTCTCCAGTCCCCAGTTCACAAATAGGGAAACTGAGGCTCAGAGAACTAAGGTGTCAGAATTTTAAAGTTACAGGAAATGGTGGTGAGGATGTAGCTCAAGGATACATTACTTAGAATATGTTTGCCCTAGCATCCATAGATAAGGGGAATGACTCCTTAGTGAGCATTCTCCCTCCCCCACCTATGCCCAGACTGGGGGGCTTAGCCCCAGGAGGCGTCAGGAACAGAGAGAAGAGCTAGCAAGCAACCAGGATCCATATGGGCCATCACTGACCACTGTCACCCTCTTGGATGGCAGCCCAGAGAGCCACACAGCTGGTTCCTCCTCTCTGTAAGCCACTCTTTTATTAGTATCAATGTCCTCTTGAAGAAAAGGCATGCCCACTCTGTCTCCTCTCTTCTGCCGGTGGACACAGGCCACAGGGCAGAAGGACTGCCCCTGTGGAAAGTGACAGGTGGAATCCAGTGTCAGGGTGACAGGAGGCAGTCCTGCCTAGATCTAACAGCAAAAGCTGAGAAAGCAGGACTGAAATGCTGAGCTGCTTGTCATTAGGAGCGTGCAAGGAGAAGGGACACAGAGGTCATCCACGTACCAGTGCAGACACTGCACCAAGTATCGGGGGACATGCCCAGGCCTGAGGATGACTCAAGAACTGGGACCAACCCAGATGTCAGGGAGAAGAGGCTGAGCTCTGAGTGGGGCATGTGGCCTCCCCTCGCCTGGACAGTTGGGTTGAGCCAGCCAGTCACGCCAAGGCTGCTCCAACATGTCACAGCAACAGCGGATTCAAAGACATAATTACGGAGTGAACAGAGCCAGCATTGAGCCTGAAATGAGACCACTAATCTCCAGGTCCTGACCACAAGTGGACATAACAGGTTATTATATAGCCGTCCCGGGCAACCCTCCCTGACCTTCTGGCCACCAGCGACTGCCAGTCCCCTGAGCAGGTAACATCCATGCCAAGGCTTCTCACAGCAGCCTTACCTTCAAAGGCAGGGGTCAGGGGACTATCCTGGGTGCCAGGGGTCAGGCGGCTGACGGTCAGATCGCTCTCAGTGCCTCCCCGGTGGTTCAGCATACACGTGTACACCGTTGAGCCTGGCAACAAGGACCCAGGTGTGAGCTCCACCAAAGCTTGCTCCTCCGAAGAGTCTAGAGGACCCCACGGCGGGTCTCCCTCATAAGACCTCCTGCCCTGTGACTCTATTTCAACCAACAGAGGTCATCCATGGTTGTCATCTGGGGGAGGGGCACTCTTTGAAACGGCTTGCCTGGCTCCTCCCTCCTCCCTACCCTCATCACCCTCAGCAGCGTGCCTGAAATGGCAGACGCGGCATCTGTGGGGTAAGCGAATGGTTGTGTGGATGAACAGCGGGCAGGTACAGGAATGAGAGAGGACAGTGGGGTAGGCGGAAGGGTGGGCACCCTGGGTAGTGAGCACATGCATGGAGAAAAGGGTGGTAGAAAGGGCTGGAAGGCAGCTGGTGGTGGTAGGGGGGGTGAGCAGGTGGGTGGAGCCGTTGGAAGATTCACAGGAACGAGGCCAGCTGCACATGGGGCTGGTGGCTGCCGAGGCTGCACACGGGAGTCTTAGATTGAACCACGCCCCACAAGTAGACATATCAGGATTTTGACTCCAAGATCTTATAGGTGACACCTTATTTGGAGGTGAGGTCTTTATAACACTGTGTGAGGGACAGTCATTCCGATGGTCTCCCAGCCAGTAGAACTGTTTACAGGAAGAAGAAAGTTAAGGCCTGGGGAGTTGACTCAGTGTGTCCAATATATAGGATCCACATTAGAAAAAAAAAAAGCCAAGAGGGTGGTGCACACTTGTAATTCCAATGCTACGGAGGCAGAGACAGGACAATCCCTGATCCTTCCTGGCTGGCCAGCCTAGCCTACTTGGTGAGCTCCATGCCAGTGAGAGACCCGGTCTCTAGGAAAACAAGGGAGCTGGTTCCTGAGGAAAGAACCAAGAGTGTCCCCTGGCCTCTGCATGCACGTGCATATATACGCACCCACATTCCCTCACACATACAAGGAGAAAAGATGGGGGTCACAGCACGCAGTGTCAGAGGCAGAGACGGGTGAAGAGGCTGCAACCCAAGCAAGGCCAATGCTCCCGGCCCCCACCAAGCTGGAATCCACTCGTAATCCTGGAGCAACAGGGCTTAGCCAACACCCCGATTCTGGTCTCTGGCCTGGAGGGCCAGGAGATAATCCATCTCTTATTTTAAACCACCCGGCATGTGGGACTTTGTTACAACAGCCATGAAAGAGGAATAAAGACGAGGCTGGTGGGCGGATGAGTAAGACAGTGGTAGGTGGGTGACAAAAAAAAAAAAGATGATTATCCCAAATATTTCATGGGATGCACCATAACAAAAATTGTTCATTATTTACTCACGATTAAAATGTAACTAAGCGTTATGGATTTTTAATCCTGGAAACCCCACATAGGGAGAGCACCCTGGCGATGGGGGTAAGTGACTGGGCTCAAGCGCCAGGAGATACTACTGAGTGCTCATGGCCGTGTACCTCTTCCGTGAGCAAGGGACGCCGGGACCCAGAAAGGGGGCAGAAGAAAGGATGGGGAAAGTAGTGGAGGAGGGGGAGGCCGTGGGGTTGGGGATTGGTGGCGGACACAGAGGGCCAGGCATCAGACTGGGAAGAACAGCAGGCTCCCTGCCTGCTGCCTCGTCCCTGTGCCCGTGGCCAGGCCATGGAGTTCCACCTGAAACTGAAGCAGGAGAGGAATGGCTGTATTCCACCCCAGGCCCAGTACCTGGGGGTCGGTTGACATCTGCTGAGAAGAGCCAGTCAGCGGCCTTCCTGGCGTCCACCCCCAGCAGGTAGAACTTGCCAAAGTAAGACATGTTGAACAGGGCTGCAGTCCGTCGGCAGGCCAGACATTCCTCCCGGATCTGAAAGGCCCATTGGAGGGAGGGTTTTTGGGGTGCTGGCCCTGGGGACGCGGGGCTGGGCCTTTCCAGACACATTTGCTCAGAGCCTCCCCACCACAGCCCTCAGTCATCCCAGCCTGGGGGCCCACCATAGTGCATTTGTCTCCAGAGCGGGAGCATGTAGGGGACATTGGGCACCGAGTCATAAGTAGGCTCTGTCATTCGAAAGAATTGCCATGAAAACCAGGCACGGTGGCCTGTCGTTCCAGCACTGGGGCGGCAGAGGCAGGAGGACCAGAAGTTCAAGCTACTGACCCTGCCTTGCCCTCTAAGAAACTAGAGAGAGAGTTAACCAAATGGATAACAAACAGAAGGAAAGACAGCCAATATACAACACCTACTCCCGTTTCTGAGCATTAACACAGAGCAATCTAAAGAGAAAGCAAGAAAATGACTCCATTTTCGTAGCCACTGGGGCCATAAAAATATCTAGAAGTAATCCTGACAACAGAAACGAGAAGTTCTTATTATAAAAAGTTAAAAACGTGTGTGTACATGTGTGCAGGTACATGCACATGTGTGTATGGAGGTCATGGGTTGACTTCTGATGTTCTCCTCAATTGCTCTTCTCTTACTTTTTGAGACAGTGTCTCTCACTGACCCTGAAGCTCACTGGATAGACTGGCTTAGCTAGATTTTTGTTGCTGTTTTTGTTTGGTTTTTCTAGACAAGGTTTCTTTGTATAGCCTTGGCTATCCTGGAACTAGCTCAGTAGACCAGGCTGGCCTCAAACTCACAGAGATCCCACCTGCCTCTGCTTCCAAAGCACTGGGATTAAAGGTGTGCGCCACCACACCCTGGCAGTACCTGCCTTTTTATATACAGTCTAGGGATCTGAACTCAGTTTCTCATGCAAGCACTGTACTGACTGAGTTGTCTCCTCAGGCCCTGAAGAAATGATAGAAAATGATGGCCAAAACCAATGGAAAGACACCAAAGTTCATGAGACAGAAGATACGCTGTCACTAAGTGACCACATACTCAAGGTGATTTGTAGATCTGACTTGGTCCCTGTCACAGCCTCAGCTGGATCCCTTGTAGAAGTTGACAAACTCACCCTGAAATCCACATGGAGTTTCAAGGGACCAGGGTATCATACACAGTCTCGAAAAGGAAGAAGGGTAATGTGTTCACACTTCCTGATTCCAACACTTGCTGGAGTGTGTGGGGGGGGGGGGTTTACAGTAGACAAAATATTCAACATTTACTGGGGGGGAGAACTACAGTAGACAAAACAGTATTGGGCTGAGCTAGTGATGGACATGTGGACTAATGGGGTAGAGCCCAGAGTCTGGAAATCACCCTCATGTTGATGGAGACTGGTTTTCAACAGAGATCCCAAGAGAATTCCATGGGGACAGAGTCCACTCAACAATTGGATATCCACATGCAGAAGATGCCTGAATACTTCCTTATGCCACACACAGGACTCCAGACAAAAACGGGTTGTAGACACAAGGGCTAAAGTGACAAACCCTTAGCAGAAAACACGGAAGTATGTGTTTGTACCTCCAGCCAGTCTCTTAGACATGATGTTGAAGGCACCAGTAACACAAGGGTAAGAGAGATGCATTGGACATCATCAAAACTTTAGACTTTTATGCAAAAGGATTAGAGTTTGTATTGCAAATGATTCCATAATGACAGTGAAAAGGGAATGGGAGAGATTTATATATTATACATCAAGCCAGGGTCTTGTATCCAGGATATTATTTATTTTAGGCTTTGTACGTATGTGTCATGCATGTGTATGTATATGGGCTATGCATGCCAATATGCAGTTGCAGGAGCCAGAGGACTGGGTGTCCTGATCTTATCAGTTTCCATCTTTTTCTCTTGAGACAAGGTCCCTCACTGATCTTGTGTCGGGGACAGAGTGTGGAATGGGTTGACTCCTGGGTGACTATGGGGTTTCCTGAGTGGAGAGATGAAACTGTCCCAGGAATTTGCTGAGGAACAGTGATTGGACTGTGTGCTATGGGAGCTGTATCTCAGTAAAGGTGTTAACAATGAAAAGAGTACACACCCCTCCCTGCCTCCTCCTGGCCACTGATCAGCTATGCCAACCTCACTGTCATTACTGGGGGTACAGTGATGGTGGGAGCAGCTGCCATGGGATAGACGGCCAGTGTGTGTCTCTGGAAGCTGGACCACCTTCCCTTCAACTCATCACCTACTAAGATGGCTGCTACCAACTCTCGGTATGCCCAGAACTCTGGAGTCCAGAGCAGCACACTGAAAAGCCACAGAAATGTTGCCGGACATGGCCACAAAAAGTCCCTCATCACAAGGGCGACAGTGGAGGTCTCCAATGCCATACCCAGAGCTGTGCAGTCAGCCTCTTTAGACCTTGCAGTAGGGCTCTGGGCGAGCACCAAGGACCTGGCTCAACCTTCAGCCAGCAGGTTGGCATACCACACTGACTCCTGAGGCCTCGGCTCCTCTGCCTCCCTCCAGACATCATTAAGGATCATTTGCTGTCCGCCAGGCTTTGAGGTGCCTTTGCTGGCACTGTTAGACCTGTCGACCCAAACCCAAACAGCTTCCTGGGCTGACACTTGCTGTCTGCCTGGCTGGGGAAGCTGCCAATGTGGAGAACAAGTGTGCGTTTCATGCTCGGGGACTGTCTCTGGTGCATTTGCGGAGGCTGGATGGAGCTGCTAAGCCAAGTTGGCATCTCCCGCGAGCTTCCACACCCTCCAGGGCCAGGAGTCCCACAGCCTGTAGAAGCTGCAGGTGCGGAGGTGCCAGACACAGCCATGCACTCCCTTGAGGAGGCTGTGAGGACTGAGCACCAGGCCCACCCTGCAACTGTTGCATTTTATGGAGCTCCGGACTCCTGGTACCACTTCAGAAAGCCCTGACCTGCCTCAGTAACCATTTACTTCTCAAACAAGCTTAGAGGAAAGTGGTGGAAACAAATGGGCCCTTGCCTTCATGACTGGCCACGATGCGCCATGAAAAATGAGGTCTCTGGTTCCAGAATTTGGGGAGACACAGACACCATTGACAGCGACTGTGAGGGGTCTGAGTGATGGCAGTCCCTGCCTGCGAAGACCTACCCTGGATACTATGATGCCTTTCTGGTGGCTTTGCCCACAGTCTAGGGCCCAGGCTGGGTGCTTGACTCTGCACCTACCTCAGATGTGTGGGGGGATATCACAGGTGCCTTGGGCATAGTGGCATGCCCAGAAACAGCTACAGTTCTTGGAGGAGCTAAGGAAGCATGACGAGGACATCACTACTGCTCATCATGTGAGAGCAACCTGTGGGATACAGGTTGCTGCAGGAATACCTGGCCCCCAAGACTCAGCATCTCATCCCTCATAGGGTGGAGAGCCAGGCACATTGCAGAGGGACCACCAGCTGCCTACTTTTGAGTCAGTGAACAGGCTCCAATGGTACAGCTACTCCAGCCCCGGCCTCTTCTACTTTGTTACTTGGAGGAGTCATCCAGTGGCCTTGGGCACGGGGCCAGAAAGCCTACCTTGTTATAGACCCACTCCACTATAAGTGGAGGTTGGAGGCCTCTGTAGATTCCAAGGAGAGGAAGCGCCATCCCTCATGGATCTTCACAATCTCAGGACCAGAGGACTAAGAAAGGGTACAGTCCTATCTCAAAGCCACTGTCCTTGTTTTGTTTTGTTGTTGCTGCTGCTGCTTTTTGCCTGTCAGCTTGACACAAGCTAGAATTACGTGTGAAGAGGAACCTTAGTTGATAGAATACCTCCATTCAGATTGCATATAGGCAAGTCTGTAGGGCATTAACAGTTGATGTAGGTGATCCTAGCTCACAGAAGGCTGTGCCACCCCTGGGCAGCTGGTCCTGAACTGTACAAGAAAGCGGACAAAGTAAGTTTCGTTCCTCCATGGCCTCTGCTTCAGTTCCTGCCTCCAGGTTCCTGCCTTGAGTTTTTGTGTTTCACGATGGACTACAAGCTAGAAGCGGGAACCCTTCTCTCCTCGGTTGCTTTTGGTCATTGTGTTTTACACAGCAATAGAAACCTCAACAGCCACCCAGGCCAGACGCCTCAATCCTGCCCCTTGCTGCCCTCCAGCAGCAATATTGAGGGACCATGAGACCTGACTGTGGACAAACTGCTGGCCCAGAAGAGAAGGAGAGGAAGGCATTACGTGGTTCCCACAAAACTGCATTAACCAGAAAGGGGTAAACCTGGAGCGAGCAGAAGCCCCCTCCCCCCACCCAAAGCCAAGGGCCCCTCAGGCAGCGCAGCAGGGCTACATGAGGAACAGAAGGCAAGGGGGCTCGGCCAGACCCAGCACAGGCTCCTTACCACGTGGTGGTGGGGTGGGAAGTCGAAAGTGTACTCGTCCCCCAGCAGCCTGCTGTAGGCGTAATTCCTGTGTGCCTGGTTTCCGTAGGCCCCGTAGTAGTCGTAGTCCAGGACCTGTTACAGAAAAGAGAAGCTGTCTTCCCTCCTTGTTGTGACTTGAGGATAAAATGTCCTCCACGGGCTCATGTGTTTAGCGCTTGGTCCTCATCCGGTGGTGCGGCTCGAGGTTGCAGCGAGGAGGTGGGGCCTCACTGAATGGAGACTTCAGAGACCAGCCCCACTCCCTTTCTGCTTCCTAATTCCTGACTGAAGACACAACCGTGGCGACGCACGCCTTTAGTCCCAGCACTCAGGAGACAGAGGCAGGCAGATCTCTGGGAGTTTGAGGCCAGCCTGGTCTACACAGCAAGCTCCGTGGCAAGCTTCCAAGTTACAGAGAACCCGTCTCTAAAAAAGGAAACAGAACAAAACAAAACAACAACGTGGCCAGCTTCCCTGTGTTCCTACAACCATACCTTGCGTACTACAATGCTATGTCCTGCTGATATGAAAGCCGCCTTCCCTAAGCTGTTTCCTGTGGCTGTTTGATCAGAGCGCTAAGAACTGTATCTAACGCACTCCCTGGCCTCTCTCTCCTCTTTTCACAAGCAGGCTTGGGAAAGATGCTCTGCAGATTCTCATTGAATTCTGCAGATACCAGGATAAACATAACAGGGTTGGTCCTGTCCTCCATGAGCTCCCCCACCGCCCTGCCTGACACTGAGTGGGTCACAGGCATGCACGGAGTTTGTACGGCTCAGGTAGCACGAGGATGCTTGCTCAAGTGACAGCTTAATCCCTGCCTTGCTAGTTCTGACACCATGACTGGAGGATGGGAAGAGACAGGTCACCAGATCAGCTGGAGAGAGACGTGGGCCACTGTGAGGGCTTCTGCCTGATGCCAAGACACCAGGCGGAGGGTGAAGGTGTGGGTAGGAACCTCCACAGCGTTGGTTCCAGGTTCTGTTGTCATGAAAATGCATGACACCAACTCCCACTGAAAATGCCCACAACGCCTAATGAGTCACCCACTCTGCAGATGGGGAACCTGAAGTCCAGGTGATTAACCCCACCCCTAAGCACAGGCCAAGCCAAGGAGTCAAGGCATGAGGCTGGGCAGGTGTGACTGGTGTCTGCGGCTGTTTCTAGGAGATTCTAGCGTAGGTTCCAGTGTCTGGCTCTTGCCTCTCCTGAGTTCCGTCACCTCTGCCAGCTGCCACACCAAACACCACCACCACCCCCGCTTGACCTCAGGCTCTGAGTGGCTCCCTTCTCACTGCAGGGGTGAATGAAGGGGGCATGGCTCTCATCTCTCAGAGCTCCAGTCGCAAGCTTTACCCCCTTCTCAGGAGTAAGGGCTGAGCCCCAGGAGTGGGAGATTCCATCTTAGCCTTATTCGCCTGGCCCCCTGAAGCCATGGCACCTGTGGGGCCCCTCCCAGCCAGGCACACCTCCCCTGACCCCTGAGACCCCAGCAGGAATAGCCCATCTGCTTGAGCCCCACAAGGATTCCAGACTGACCGCTGGGTAGGTATAAAGTCTTCTCATCTGGGGACCAAAACAATTCCTGTTCCACTCAGTGCCTCTCCCTGCCTGGGGCCTCTAGGTCGCAGAGTCTGCCCAACCCATCCTGCTGACTCTGACCCCAGGGGACAATGAAAGAAAACACCCTGACCCTGGCACAGGGGCCTTGGTTGCATATTAATGACTCTGTTACCCCTAAGTATGCCCTGGATTACCAAAGAGATGGAAGAGGGTCACACCGGAATGGGATGGGACACCACAGCAGGAAGGAGTTAACTTGCACACACCTAGGTGGGACTCAAAGCCTCTGTGGCCTGCCCCCAGGGGCTGCTCTGGGGAGGCCCCTAAGACATCCCAGAGGCCAGCATATGGGATGATTTGGGGGTAAGCTGACACAGAGGCACAATTCCTCCCACTGACAGAAACTAACAGCTGGTGTTGCCAAATATACATTCTGAAGGGTGTGCAAAAGGGGGGCTGCATTCCTCTTAGAACCAGGGAGCTTCCATTCTGTCTACACTGTGGATCTGTGTCGGTGTCCAATGCTTGCCCGCGTGGGCCTGGGAAGCCTGCATACTGCAAGCAGACTTGGATCCAGGCCTTTGCAGGTGCCTCACCACCGAGGTGCTAGCAACTGTGTCTCAGGTTGGTACTCAGTTTCCTGAGCGTGGATGACTGAGGCACACTGGATTGGCCTGACTTGGGTGGCTGGGATGAGAGGCCCAGGGCCTCCTAGTCACATAGACTGGCACCCGGGTGTTGTCACTCACTGGAGCTGTTTCTTGGGGATTGAACCATCCCGGCCGTTCCCAGCCTTGGCGCTCTTGGAACACGCAGCCTCGTCCAAGTAGCTCCTGAATGGAGACAGAGAGGGCCCATCACATCACACAAGGTCAGACACCGCTTGAGATGTAGAGCCAGGATACCTACTGCCCACACCCAATGATGCTCAGGAAGCAGGGTCCCCAGCCAGGTCACTGCTCCTCCTCAGAGTTCCCTCAGCACCTTCACCTCAAGAATCCTCATCTAGGGAATGACCCACTATGAGCTGAACCGGGCCCCATCAGCACATATGCTGAGATAGTCTGGAGACCGAGCCTATGGGGAGAGCATTATGGCTGAATAAGGTCACAGAGTGGGTCCCAATCACAGAGGGCTGGTCCCCTTCTAAGAAGAAGAGGGCCTGCCAGGATGTTCTCTGCTCTGGAACGACATGGCAAGACAGCGGTTGTCCTCAGCCAATAGGGCATTGGTCAGGAACCACCAGGTCTTGAATCTTCCAGAACACAGAAACTGTGCCCCAAGAAGATAATGATGTCTCTCTGCTTGCACAGTCTGGCTGCTCCTCTGACTATACATACTTATCATGCCTTCTACTACCCAGAAGCCACCAGCACTACTGCAGCCTTGGGGCAGTCTCCCATATTGGTTCTTGTGTGCGTGTTGTGTGTGTGTGTGTGTGTGTGTGTGTATGTGTGTGTGTATGTGCGTGTGTGTGTGCGCGCACGCACGCGTGCGTGCAGAGGACAGAAGACAGCCTTGGAAGTCATTCCTCAGGTGCCATCCACCTTGTTTTATGAGACAGGATCTCTCATTAAACCTGAAGACAGGCAGGCAGGTCAGAGAGCCTCAGGGAGCCTCCAGGAGCCTCCTGTCTCTGCTTCCCCAGTTCTGGGATCATAAACATAAGCTGCCATGACCAGTTTGATTGTTTTTTTTTTTTTGTCTGTGGGTTCTGGGAGTTGAACTCAGGTCTCCGTGCTTACATGCAAACACTTTTCCAACTAAGCTCTCTCTCCTTTCCTCAAGTCTGTTTTTCAGGACATCTGCCTCTCCACTTAGCCTAAAGCCCCTGCAGGAGCTAGTGTCCCCCACCCCAACCCTGGCATAGCACCCTACACAGATCTCATGGAACAAGGGCTTACAGTAGAGTACCCCACACGTGTCTGTTAGCCCAGCACCCCGAGGCCCTCCAGGAACCTCATCTTGTGTATGCCCGGTATACCTCGTGCAGGGAGTCTTTCCTCATGTTGCGTCCTGCCAGAGGCTCATCGTGGGGGAAGACGACTGAGTAGTTCTTTGCGTAGGACTCGTGGCTGCGCTCTCGGATCCAGCGAGGGTGGTCTGTGAGCGAGTGATGGAAACGCCTGCCACCAGTGAAGGAGATGGACCACTGTGTCAGCGTTCCAAGCTGGAGTCTGGGCCTCTTCACTTAACCACAAACCACTCCTCTCCCGGCTAACCCAGCTAAGGATGCCGTGAGGAGGCCAGTCCACAGTTGATCTCTGCCAGGTTGGGTAAAGCAACCACATGTATGGTCCCACGATTCCTAGGGGAGGTGGGTAACCCATCTTCCCATTTCATAGATGCAGAAATTATGGCTCAGAGAAGAGGAAGGACTAGCCCAGGGTCATACAGCTGGGCGTGTTGGGGTGGGTGACCACAATCCATCTGTTCGGCTGTAAGAGAAGCATCTACTGTGGTCTGGAGGCCACTGGTGCTGAGCAAGCCCTGGGACCTTCCCTTGCAGCTAGGGTCTAGACATGCCCAGGACCCAGCGCTAGTTGCCCTACCCAGGCACGTCCTCTACTGAAGGTGCCTCCTTACAGATGAGGGTGAAGGAGTGCATCCTGCCCTTGGCCTAGGTATGGCCACAGAAGAGAGACAGTCATGTTCTGGTTCATGCCGGGCCCCTATGATTCTTTCTGTGTATCTGTCTTCCTCTATGTCCCTCTGTCTCTCTCTCTCTCTCTCACACACACACTCACACACACACATTTGCAAACAGGTCTGGAGTCCACAGTGGGTTATCAGGTGTGCCACAGGCTGATCTTGTCTGGGCTGGATGAAACCCTGATGCTGGGAAGATGGCCCTGAGGATGGTTCTGTGGCTGTGAGCACACAGTTGAAGGAGGTCAGGCTGCCCCGCTCTGTTTGCAGCGGGAGGAATATGAGCAGGGCCTTCCCTGAGGCCCCTTGAAGCTGTATCATTTCTAGAACATTCTTCTCTGGGAGGAAAGGATAGGCGTGGCTGCAGACAGCCTCTGAGGAGATAGAGCAGACCTCACAGCACCAGAAGCCCGGTAGGGGGTGGCACTCTGGGGTGCTCGGAATCCGCCATCTGTCTTCATGGTGGCAGACGTCACCTCCCCCATGGGTGCAATGTTCTCATCCAGCCAAGAAGAGACAAGCTGGCAGGGCAGTGGGACATCCTGCACTGAGCCAGCAGCCGTTCCACCCAACTCTGTCCTCGTGTCAGGCCAACAGGACAGATGGGTCCCTCCTGGAGACTATTGGCCAGGAACACACACTAACTGCAGACAGAACAGGCCGAGAAGCAGCTTCTTGCCTGGCTGCTCAGGCCTTGGGCTGCCCTGCGGGGCCTGGTATGACCCCAGAATGGGCCACACTGCACAGGTCAAAATGACTATTGTAAGAAAGGGACCTGGAGCCTGGGAGAGCTAGGGAGTCTCCTGCTTCCTGCCTGGGAGCCTTTACAGCAGGCTGCAGAAGCCTACAATGCCTCCAGGCTCCTGTCATCAGCATTTGGCCCAAGCTATATGGTTCAGTGCCCAGGGTTTTGCCCCACAGTCACTCTCTGTACCCACACCAGTCTGTCCATGCTGACTGTCCTGCATCTTGGCCACAGAGTGGCCCCGTGTTGAGTTTGACTCATGTGTGGCCACCAGACAGGGAGCCCCACTCCTGGTCCTAATGATGGTCCCTGCTGGGCTCTTCTCCCTAGCCTCAGTCTCCCCGTGTGTGCATTAGAATGATGGGATCCTGTTGATGTGGATAGTGGGTCAGACAGGACCTGGGCCAAGAGATCCCGGAGTCCACAGAGGCCTACCAAACCCAGTGACTCCACCCACCAATCTCACTGCCTTCTTCCCTCCCGCCCTTGCTGCCCCACTTCCAAGAGATCATCTGGATTTCAAGGAAGATTCCTTCTGAAAATAGCCCTCTGCCCTGCTGTCCCATCCAAGATGCTCTGCTCTCTGGCGCCAGCCATCATACTTGCCTGATGTCATAGCTGTACATGTCCTTCTCTGGGCGCCCGTGCACAATCCAGTTGGCCAGCTCGTGCCCACAGCCACCACCCAGCATCATGCCTGGTGAGATGGGGGGCACAGGGCTACAGACTGCTCCCTCCACACCCAACTTTATACCCCTATCTCCATGGCAGCCCCACCCAACCCCTGTTCTCACATCTGGGTGTTGAGGGGCTGCATTCTGCACCCCAGGTCTCCTGTCTCCGTACCACTGGGGCCTTCCCATCAGGTGCCCCCTCACCTGCACTGTTGAAGCCACAGCCAAGGAAGAATCCGCGGAGCTCAGGAGCCTCCCCCATCAGGGGCTTGTGGTCAGGTGTGAAGGATTCTGAAAAGAAGGGAGGCCTAAGACTCCTCCAGTCCCCCAGGCCCTTGGGGTAGGCTGCCCTGGGACAATAGGGATGGGAAAGTGGTCCTTGGACACCTCCTCTGTTGAAACCTTCCATCCTTATAACCCAAGGCAATACTGATTCCTCCAGGCAGCCTCCATAGTTGCCTCTGTCCCTGTTCCCCTAAGCACCTGACCTACGACCTATCAGCTCTGCCCCATGGGCCCAGATTCATCTCAGGAACATTGTCATTGTCCCACCAACAAGGGGCAGTATACTGACTCAATAGAGTGCTGCAGCTCCCCTCACTGGACTACCATCTTTCTGTATTATTGTCTGCTAGCCAGGTACTCAATATGTGTTAATAACTAATGAATGGATGGATGGATGATCATATTTTCTTTCCTGCCAGGCTGCCTCAGAGATCAGAGGACACTGAAGCCAGTCATGGCTTCATCCCCGCTTGACTCCTCAGGCAAGGCGCTCTGCCTCTCTGTGGCCTAGTCTCCTCTGTTGTACAATCGTGATTGCAGTACTGACTCCACAGGGCTGGGTTAGCCTACAAACATTTGTACCCAGCCCATCACGTGCTTGGCCCTTGGGGATAGCTCTAAGCAAGACAGATTGCACCCAGCAGAGCCGATCGGACAGCAAGAAAGACAGAAAGATCCAAGCAAGCAAAAATCAGGGTGTCTCATAAAAGGTGCCCCAAATTAAGCTAGATGTTCCCCGCAGTCTTGCATGGTGTGAACTATCACTGTCCAGTGTTTATCACAGGAGAGGAAGCTGTGCAAATCTTCCTGGATCCATCCAATCCCAGGCTCTTAGCCTGTGCAGGCAGGGAAGTAGCATGCCCATCGTCCCCCCAGAGGGTGTTTAGAGCCCGGCCTGCTGTCGGGCACAGTGTTTGAGCTGAGGGGCAACCAGGAGAAGAGGGAGGTTTCAAACAGTAGGAAGTTGCTGGCACGTCAGAGGGCAGTGGCGGGGGAGACAGGGCCAAGCAACCGAGTACTTGTCCCTCAGATGGACTCATCCCTGGATAGCAGTGCCAAAGCACATAAGGCCAAAGCCAGATGTGTACTTGGACCACAAGAAATGGTCCTGGAGTAGCACGTGAGAAGCTGAAACAGGCTTTCCTGATCTGCCACACCATACACGCCGACCAAATGTGAGCTCGGCATTTCTCTCATGGTTGCACATCAGCCCTGTGTGTGTTCTGGAAGGACTTGGCATTTGAGTGAGCATGCAGAGAGCGGGTTCAAGGCCAAGGCAGAGCTGATGAGCCAACTGAGTATGGCGAAGATCATGGAGATGCCACGCTGAAAAACCAATGGGGAAGGAGAAGAATTTGGTCCTCAGGGCCAACGGCTTTTCAGCCTCCTAGTAGAAGCCTCACAGAGGGGAGGAAGGCCTGTGATGGAGTGCCGGTGACTCTCCAGGGTCCCGTGTCAGGCTGGACTGTATGAGGGAGGGTGGGGGCAGTCATCTAGGTAGGACCAGAGTAGGTGGAGAGGGTGATGGAAGCCATGTCCAGGTCTAAAAAGATAAGAGAGGGGTCCCAAGCAGATTTGGCAGAGCTAGGGATGGAACTTTGGTCAGGAGGGCAGGTGTTGAGTACACAGTCCCTTAGATTTTAACATAGGCAAGACTGATAAACTTAAGGATACTGGAGCCCCCAGCAGCATGGGTGGAAGGACTTAAATCTGCCACCCCACCTTGGCTCTGAATTCTCAGCCTAGCTCTGTCTGTCTGTCTGCCCCAGGCTTCCCAAAGTCTGGAGCTAGGACATCTCTGAATTCTGGAGCCCAAACTTCTGAGCTGTCTGGCAAGGAGAAAAGCTACCCACCCCTGAACCCCATCCCCAAACACCCTCACTGCTAGGAGAACAGACCCAAGCTGTCTTCCTAAGCATACGTGCCCCAGATCAGGGCCCCACGGAGGAGTGACAGCTTCCAGGCTAATTAGACAGAGAGAGCCTCTGGGGACATTCATGCCCCTGGGATTCTTCCTGTTTCTCACCATCGGTCCCACTCTGGCTGAGCAGGGACGTGAGTCACCGCCCTCGCCCACGTCCTGGATCAGGCGTGCTCTCCTGCTCGTGGAGGCTAGCAGCTGACTCCATCTGGCCTCCCTGAGACTACACCCGGTGGGTGCCACTGTCTTCCCCATGAACACAGACTGGGCTGGCTGCTCTGTAGTCACCAAGCATGCCCAGACGGTGAGGGCTACACTCCCCAGAGGGCCATAGCACCCTCCATCTGGGACCCTTCATCTCTCCTGAGATGGCCTGGCCACTTTGCCCCATGGAAGACCCTTGGCTTCCTGGCTTCCTGGCTTCCTGCCGTCCCCTTTCATCCATAGGCTTTACTCCCAGTGTCTGACTTGTCCCCAGCCTGTGACTTCTCAGCTGCATGCCACCTCTGCTGTCTGGTATTCTGTCCCTACCTCCCAGGTCACAAACTGTGGAGCTCAGGGGCTCCCAGTCATGGCTGCTTAGCCTGTGGAGCTGAAGACCCATTTTGGGCTACCCTACGTCTTTCTGAGCTTGAGCCTCAAGGGACCTGAACAGGAAGCAAAGCTCACCCGGTAAAAGCAGGAAACACATCCCTGAGATTCTGCTGAGACCACATTTTACATCACAGCCCAGCACTGACTGGCTCTATAGTGACTGATACTGGTCTTCAGGATCTAGAATTACCCTATAGTGACTGATACTGGTCTTCAGGATCTAGAATTACCCGGGAGGTTAGCCTCTCAACTGTGAGGAATTATCTAGATTAGGTTAGCCTCGAGGCATGCTGGTGATGGATTTTCTAGATTAGGCTAATTGAGTGAGAGGACCTGGACTTGGGTCCTAGACTGAGCACCAGCATCCATTTCTCTGCTTCCTGCCTGTGGATCCGACTCAAGCTCCCCATCCAAGACTTCTCTGCCATGATGGACTGTACCCTTGAACTGTGAACCGAAGCAAGCCCTTTCTCCATTGAGTTGATCTTGTCAGGGGGAAACGTAACTGAGACAGGTCCCCTCCGCTAGGCAGCCCAGCCTGTGTCTCCCCTGCCAGGCTGGGAACCCTTGCCCAAGGAAAAGATGGACTTTGGCAAGAATGAGGACACAGGCCCTAGGTGTGTGGGGCTGCTGGGCTGTTCTACGCTTATCTCCAAGGTGCAGCTGCCTGGATCTCACACCATCAGAGCCAGTCATCGTGGACCAACTTTCCAGCACGCCCTCTTTTCTAGGATCCTCCTCGGGCAGCCCTGCACCCTCACTCTGGGATGGAGCCTGGAGTACCATGTGAACAGTGGCTACTCAGTAGAAAACCTACAGGGAGAGGCTCTGGGAGCTAAACTCACTCTTCTTAGCCTCCTGGAGAACAGAGAGGAGGCAGGGCCTTGGGGACCCCTGGCCAGGAATCTCTCCATGTCCGGCTCATCTCTAAGCCTACAGAGTTCTGGATACCCAAGAACAAGGGGTGAATCCAGTGGTTGGGGACCCTGGCCGGGGAAGTGAGAATTAAGGTGTGAAGCTGGGGGCTCCACCAGGTGATCACTGTGCTGGAGTCACAGTCCGTCTCCCCGTCCTCACTCTGCCTCACATGGTGCTAGGTCCTACATGTCCATTTTCAGATGAAAACCCCACGTTCTAGGGACGAATGGGATCTAGAGTCTTAGTGTTGGGGTCAGAAGAAGCCCAGGGATACAATGCTGCCCTTGCTAGCTTGGGTTTTTTCCTAGAGAGGAAATAAAAATCACCTAGCTAAGCCCAGGTAGCACGAGACAGGCCACCCTCAGGAAGGCACTGCCACCCAGATGGACCCAAGGATGCCTCTGCTCCAGCCTCAGCATCCCCACTCACCAGGGCCACAGACAGTGGACTTGATCCCCGTCTTCTCCAGCACAGGGACACGGTTAATGGCACCTTCAATGTGCTGGGTGAACACATCCCAGTCCAGGTCGAAGAGGCCAAAGGCAAACTTGTCTGACACCTGCAAAGGCAGCATGGGAAATCTGTCAGTCTGCCATGGGAAAAGCGCCAACCCTCCCAGGCCCACCTCTGGCAGAGCTGCAGCCTCTAACCAGGTAGGGCACATGACTGACTTCTGCCAGGTCGGATGAGACAGAGGTCGGGACTCCCCTGTGGGCTCACAATCCACCCACCCCCTCCCTTCCTCGCCCCACCCCCACCTAGCTTCCTTCCCTGGACTGTTTCTGTGGTCTCCAGTTGGGCACCAGCTTCTAGGCTCTAACTTGTTCTCTCAAACCATACAGCCCTGCCCTTCTCTGGAGCCTCCCAATTACCTACCACAACCGCCTAGAAACCTCCACGCACCTGCCCTCCCAACCATTCCCCTGTGCGTGGCCTTCTGATCTTCCTTCTGCTTTTAAGAAGGACAAGCTAAGCCAATCATGGTGGTGCACACCTTTAATCCCAGAACTCAAGAGGCAGGCACAGGGGATCTCTGGGGGTTCAAGTCCAGATTAAAGATGCACACCACCACTGCCGCCTGGCTACCATCTCCAGACATCTTGAGACGATTAAGGAACTACTATCCTAGTCTCCTCAACACTTACCAGAAATAGAGACATTTGGTGCAGAATTGCCGTCTAATCATTCTGTTTGTGGACATGTGGCTGAGACACCTATGTGATCTCCTGACTGGTCCTCCAGCCCAGAGGCCCCACTGTGGCCCTGGGGAGGGGCAGGGGGTTTTCAGAGAGGCCACCTTTGCTGCTGGCAGACCAAAGACTGGGGTCTTTGAAAGCTCCGCTGGAGTCTTAGCGCTCCCTCGTGCCGAGGAGCACAGCAATACCTCCCTAGCTTCTGTGTACCTGAGTGCCAGCTCTCAGAAGCACTCGGTTTGGGTGGGGCCAGGACACCTCTGTTTTTCCACTATGGGACCCTTATGGGTCTTACCTTCTCCCAAAAGATGGGGTTGGCCTCATAGCCACCCACAGACAAGGCATCCCCCTGCAGGCGGAGGTAGACAGAAGCATCGTGATCTCGGACATTGGGCATGTTCTGGAAGGCAGAGCAGAGAGGCCACAGGCGTCAGGCAGGCCTGGTAGGTCCGGTTCCCATACCCTGAGTTAGGCACAGCTCTGCGGAGACCTGTGGCATCTTCTTCTACACTAGAGATGAGCAGGGAAGGAGACAGGCAGAGACAGGCAAGGGCCCCATGCAGTGGCCCTGTTCATTTGTAAAAGGTAATGAAAATGTCCCAGTTAAGGGCTGCTTTCAGGAGCTCAATGATACTTTCAGTAACCAAATACTACTTTAAAATACAGTTAGCTCTGCCAGGACCACCACCAGCACCAACACTCCAAAGATAAAGGAACCCCAGAGCACCATAGCACGGCATTGTGGAGCCCCCTGGCGGCCTGCTCCTGTCCCAGCAGGATGGTACCCACCTCAGTGCTGACTCGCCTGCAGGTCCCTATAACTCAAATAACGTAGCACATGCTAGCTCAGCAACACATGTCCACCCAGAAACTCTACTGCTCTCTATACACAGGAGTCCACCCTACTCTTAGTGGACACCATGGCCCTACTCCCATTTTTAACCCAACCGCTGGGTTATTCTCCCCTAGCTGCTTCAAACCCTGCTGGCTGCTTCCTCTTGCAAGTCGGCCTGACTGCTCCTGCTCTTCTTAGTTCCTCTGAAGCAGCAGCTGGCTAGGTGACTCCATGCTCCTCTGTCACCATCACTGTCAACACATCTACCCGGGGAGCTCCTGCCAGAGGCTGGTACCTTGATCACTACATCGCCTGGGCACAACCCCGTGCACAAGCAGTACCCACGCCGCAGAAAAGGAAACTGAGGTCTGAGGATGGGGCCCAGCTGATAGAGTGCTTTGCTTGCCAGCAAGTCTGGGAACCTGGCTGCAGTCCCCAGCACTGCACAAACTAGGTGCATAGGATGACTGGGAGTTCCAGTTCATCCTTGGCTACAAAATGAGTTCAAAAGCAGCCTGAGCTACAAAAGAGGGGGGGGGGACAGAAGAGCAGGAAGGAGTAGCAGAAATAAGAAGGGGAAGAGAGAAGGGAAAGATGGCCCAGCGAGACGGCTCACTGGGTAAAGGAGCTTGCCACCAAATCTGACAACCTGAGTTTGACATCAGGTACCCACATGGTAGACCTCCATAAATTGTTCCCTACATGCATGCACACATGCACACGTGTGTGTGTGTGTGTGTGTGTGTGTGTGTGTGTGTGTGTGTATAAGAAAAAGGAGCTGGGGCTCGGAATGGTGGTTACACTCTTCTAGGTTGGAGCTGGGAAGATGGGAAGAGTTTGGCTTCAGACCCACAGCTCTGGCCCTGTGCTTGGCACCTGGCTAAGGCAACAATCTCCCTGCAGGAGCAGGCAGGAGGAGGATGAAAACTAAGAAGGACATAACCACGCCTTGAATGGGATGGGCCCACGTCCATAGGTCAGGGCAGAGCTAGCTAGGACCAGAGACGTTGGCAATTCCTCAAAGCTGAGAGGGCTCTTGGCCACCATGGAAGATGGGCACCCAAGGCTTGAGTCCTCGCTTGTAGCCAGAGCCTGATGTTGTAGGAGGACAATGTCCTGTAGCACAGGGCTACAAGGTCCCAGGAGCTTTCTGAGCTGACATGGGCAGGAGGACAGTTGACATGAACCCTGGGGCAGTCTCCCAGCCCTGGCTCAGCCTCCTGCCTGGTCCCAGCAGAGCCAAAGCCATAGAGCTCTCCACATGGAGGCATGGGACCTAGGAACTCTCTTATCATACCAGACTGTACCCAGCACAGTCTTGAAGCATTGAGACCCTGGGTGACTCTGTAATATCTGCAGCTTTCCTATGACTTTGATGCTCTCGGGAGGGGGATGGCCAGCTGCAGTCCATCCTACTGCTTTCCAGAAGGGGAACCTTGTCAGGGATCAGGATAAAGTAGCTAGGACTGAGGGGTGGTGTCCCTCAGTGGATACCCTGTGGCTTCCCTCCCGGAAACCTCAACCCAGGACATATCTCCTGTCCCCCTTTACACTACACCTTCCCAGCCTCAGCTTGGCTCTCCTGGATTCCTTCATGGTCCGAGAGTGACCCCTGGTGGCCACCTGGGAAGCGGCCCCCCCCGCTCTGGGCTTCAGGATTCAGCATGGCCATTCTTCCTTGTTCACCGAATACGGTACAAGGTAGGTGTCTCTGTGAGTAAGGACCTAGTGTGTTCAGGGGAGCTGCCCTGGGATTGGTGGCTGGAACCCACCAGACCCAAGTTTTTGCTATACTGACTCCTACATTCACACTGTGGAACAGCCAGGCTTGACATGTTGGAGGCAGGAGGGAAGCCAAGCTCATGCAGGGTAGGAGAGGCAGGCCCCAGGAACAAAACTTTGAGCGTGGGGAAAAGGTGGGGGGAGTCCAGGTGTCCAAGACTCTCATCACTGGTCCCTAAACAAGAACATTCTGGCCTCTGACACTCCTCACCCCACAGCCTATGGCTCAGTTCTCTGAACTGTCAGTCAAAACCGAATGCCATGCTCTGTGTGATGGACATTCTCCATCAGCCTCAAACCCCCACCGAGGTATGACCTCCTTCTCCAAGTAGCTCCAAAATATCAAACTGGTCCTGAAATCTTGGTTAGGGATGTCAGGCATCCCGTGGCCGGCCACATTTGATTAGCCTAAGGGAAGTCAGTTAAGTGTCTTTGGATATAGTCCATTGGCAGAGGAAGTGCCTTGTACTAGGTCTCAGAACCCTGGAACCCCTGGGGGTGTTCCCTTCCAGAACCCCTTGCTGCTCCTTTGCTTGTCTGCAGGATCCCCCTTTTCTTTTCGTACAAAAACTGGGTCTTTCTCTGTTTTAGCCTCACCTCCTGGAGTAGAAACATGAAGCCCCTCCAGTCAGTGTTGGCTGGAGAGAGGGTCCAACTCTCATTGTAAAAGAATTAGCAATTAGATGAATGATGGAAGGCTAGAAGGGAAAGGTGAACGGGGGAGAGGGAGGGGTGGGTGGGTGGGTGGAGGAAAGGAGAGGGAGGGGTGGATCGTGGATGGGTGGGCGGGTGGATGAAAGGTAATAAAGAAGAAGGGGCGGGAATGGATGGGCGGTAAGTAGATGGGCAAAAACGGCTGGGTAGATGGAAGAGGACACTGAGGAGGAATCAGGGGTGAGGGTAGCAAAAGGGATAGAAAGAAGGGAATGGATGGAGAGATAGATAGAAGAGGGATCAATAAGAAAGAGAAGGACAGATGCATGGGAAATAGATGGGAGTAGAGAGAGGAGAGGGGGATGGGTGCGGTGGGTTAGAATGAGTGATGGAGGAGTCGGGAGACGTGCTCGGATGATTGGTGGAGGGGAGCAGGGTGACCAATGGCAAGGCGTCAGAAAACTGCCAGTCACCCACATAGGAAAGAGCTAAGCTGGACAAGAGGGGAGAGGGATGGGGGAAGTCCTTCTGTATATGTTTCTCTTATTGGTTGATGAATAAACCACTGTTCGGCCAATGAGGCGGGAGGGTAGGTGGGACTAGGAGATGAGGAGAATTCTGGGAAAGGTAGGCAGGGTCTGCCAGAGACGCCATCCTGCCAAAGGAGTAACATGCTGGGTTACAGGTAAGCCACAGTCTCGTAGTAATATATAGATTAACAGATATGGGTTAAATAATTTAGAGAGAGCTAGCCAATTAGAAGCCCAAGCCATCAGCCAACAGTTTCATAACTAATATAGCGTCCGTGTGTTTATTTGGGGCTGAAGGGCAGCGGGACCTAGCAGGACAAGAAACTTTCATCAACAAGAGAGAGCAGGGGACATTTAACTCTGGGTGCCTGCAGGTCTGGACTTCGCTCAGCAGAGGCTCTCAGAGAGGTACTGAGTGCCAGGAACCAGTGTCCTCTGAGATGGTACACCAAAGCCCTGGCTACCAGACTAGGGATATCAAGGACAAGCCAGGCCCTGGTGTCCAAGGTAGGCCATACCATCAGATTCACTGTGCCAACTCATGTAAGCACCCAGAGGTCTCCATTGCATAGAAAGGTGCCTATGTCTGAGGACTGTGCCATTGTCTGTGCCCAAGCGAGGTCTCAGGGCACAGTCCTTGTCCTCACCAGCCCTCCCACTGCAGAGAATCTGGCACCATCGATTACCTGAATCCCCTCAATGCGCTCAGTGACAACATAGGCATGGTGCATGGCCACCAGCGGGACCTTCACTCCAGCCATCTGGCCCACAGCGCTCGCCCACACTCCTGGGGACAGAATGGAGAGCATCTTAGCTGCCACCCAAGTGGACACAGGACATTCCTCAGCATTCCTGCCTGTCCCGACTTCCCAGCCCAGAAAGGGGTGGGACTAGAGCTGGGGGAGCCAGAGGGACGTTCCACCTGCACAGTTGACCACGCAGGGTGTCTGGATGGAGCCATGCTCTGTCTCCACTGCTGCCACCCGCCGCACTCCAAAGTCATCCGTCCTCACACGAATGCCAGTCACCGGGCAGTTTTCAATGACCTGAGGTGGAGAAAAACAGCACCCAAAACCATGTGGTGTTTCTGAAGGCCTGACCTCCATCCCCGACAGACTGGATGGGACCAGGGGATGCTGCTTCTGTGAGGGACACTTTCTGATTATATTTCCCTCATTTGATCACATCGCAAGGAGGCAGAGCCTACTCCCTGCCTTAGTTGGAAATTTTGTGCAGATGTGAGAGGGGTGAGGGCACTTGTTCAGAATAGGGGAGGACAGCTAACTGTTTTCAGTAAGTGAGATTCACTTGAAGGAAACTGTTTGTACATCACTTTGTGTGTGTGTGTGTGTGTGTGTGTGTGTGTGTGTGTGTGTGTGTGTGTGTGTGTGTGTTTTTTAAGAAGTCACCAAATGCTGTGTGCCTGTTGGGCCCCAGCCCCACCTGGTGTCTGTGAGTTGCTGGTCAGCCTACAAGTGCAACTTGTTTTCCAGTCCAAGTGCTTCCTGTTTTCTAGTCCTGGCTTACTGCCCTGGCCTTGACCCTCTAATATCAACAGGAGGAAAACACGCTCTCTTCTACCTGGGGTTTTTTCCACTGTGCTGTAAACCTTTATATAAAGCTCCTCCCTCCTACAAGAGAGAGACCTCTTGGAACATTCAATGAACACACACACACACACACACACACACACACAGGCAACGCATGTGCCTGTTTATGCCTTCATGGGAGCTATTAGAGAGTAACACACCAAAATGCCCACAGTTCTGCCAGATGTTTTTACTTTCTTTTTGCTTATTTGTGTGTGTGTGTGTGTGTGTGTGTGTGTGTGTGTGTGTGTGTGTCTGTGACATGTGGTGTCTGGGTGAGTGTGTGCCTATGTTATGTGTGGTGTCTGTGTGTGCATATGTTATGTGTGGTGTCTAGATGTGTGTGTATATTTGCTATGTGTGGTGTCTGGGTATGTGTGTTATGTGTGGTTTCTCAGTGTGTATGTGTTTGTGTGTGTGTGTTATGTGTGGTGTCTGTGTGTGTGTTATGTGTGGTGTCTGGGTGTGTGTACATTTGCTATGTGTGGTGTATGGGTGTGTGTTATGTGTGGTGTCTGAGTATATGTGTTATGTGTGGTGTCTCTGTGTGTGTGTGTGTGTGTGTGTGTTATGTGTGGTGTCTGAGTGTATGTGTTATATGTGGTGTCTGGGTATGTGTGTTATGTGTGGTGTCTCTGTGTGTGTGTGTTTGTGTGTGCATGTGTTATGTATGGTGTCTGTATGTGTGTGCACGCGCATGTGTTATGTGTGGTGTCTGGGTATGTGTGCATGTGCATAGGTGCACATATTGCTGGTCAGTTTTAACTGTCAACTTGATACAACCTAGAGTCACCTTGGAAGAGTCTGAACTGAGCACTTATCTAGATCAGGTTGGCCTGTGGATATGTCTGTGGAGAATTGTCTTGATTGTTAATTGGCCCAGCCCACTGTAGGCAGCACCATTCCCTAGGCTAAGTCTGAACTGCATGAGTGGAGAAAGATAGTTGGGCAAGTAAGCAGGTAACATGGATGCCTTCATCTCTCTCTGCTCTTGACTGTGGGATATGAAGCAGCTAACTGCTTGAGTTCCTCCTCAGCTATAGACTGTAACCTGGTTGTAAGCCCAGTCAACCCTTTCCTCCTCTAAGTTATTTTTTTGGTCAGGGTGTTTTATCACAGCCACAAACACAAAAGTGGGACATGAAGACACTGGAGGTCAGAGGACATGGGTGCCCTCCTCTGTCACTCTCTGCCTTGCTCCCTTGAGACAGGATCTCTCACTGAACCTAGACTCACTGCGTCCACTGGGATGGTAGACAGGAAGCCCAGAACTCTTCCTAACTAACCTCCCAGCACTGAGGTCACAGTCACCTACAAGATGAATGTTGGAAATACAAATGAAGTCCTCATGTTTGTGCGTCAAGTACTTTCATCCGGTCCCCGCTTGTCATTTTTAGTTTTTCTACAGTAAGCGTGGGGTTGAAGCAAGGGAAGACAAAATGGTAAGAATAGATGGGGGGTGTCTTCTGTACATATGTTCCTCTTATTGGTTGATGAATAAAGCACTGTGGCCAATGAGGCAGAATGGTAGGTGGGACTAGGAGACAAGGGGGATTCTGGGAAGTGTAGTCAGAGAGTCAGTCATTATGTAAGACGTGAGAGGAGTAACAGGTCCCAACTCTTCCTCCAGTAAGATAAGACGACATGGAAATACTTAGATTAATAGAGACAGCTTCATAATTAAGACAGAGCTAACCAATAAGAAGCCCAAGCCAACGACCAACAGTATTATGACTAATGTAGTGTCTGCATGTTCATTTGGAACTGATGCAGCAGTGGGCCCAGGCTGGCAGGAAGAGTTATCGTAACAAACAGATCCAGAGACTTCCTCTGTAACAGAGTAGGATCCTTGTGTGAAAGGAGATGATGGGAATGCAGATATCTGAGCAGAATGGACCGAAAGGCTGAGCGGTCCCAACTGGCGCAGGACCACATCTCAGCCCAAGGATGGAGCCTGTTCTCAGGCCTCGGGACTTGTAGGGAAAGGGGATGGGCTCAAAGCAAACACCCAGAGTTGGAAGTGATGGGTACCTGAGCTCCTCGAGCCACTGCTGCCCGGGTGAGGGTAGTGCAGGTGCCAGCAGGGTCCATGGTACCATCCTGTGGCACATACAGCGTCCCATAGAGGTCATCCACATTCATCAGTGGATACAGATCCTTGGTCTCCGCTGGGCTCAGCACATGGGACTCTACGCCATAGGCCTTACCTAGCTAGAAGGACCCAGAAGTTAATACCTGAGCCTGTGGAAAGCCGGTCTTCAGGCCACCCACCCAACCCAGGGCCGTAGGTCCAACCCCAACCCTGCTGCCTCTAGAAGTCTGAGCAGATCTCCATGTCCAGAGGACCCCTAGGCTCTGCTCCAGCAAGAGGGTGAAGGGGTGGGACCAGTGCAGAGGCAGGGTCTGGAGCCACACCCCTTTGGCCCTACCATCTGCTCCAGGGCAGCTTTGTGATGGTGTTGGGAGACTCAACATCTACTCCCAGAAATGGGCTGATAGTCATTCGTGCAGTTGATTAAGAACTTCGACAGGAAAGAGCTACACATTGCCTAGTATGTCATAATAAAATTAAAATGATCCTCAGTCTCATATTTTGGGTCTGAGGATTAGGTTTGCAGGTTGCCCCCAAGAAACACCAACATGATCCTGCCTTGGTGGCACTGTCAAACAGACCATGCCCCATATTTAACTGGACCAAGAGCAGCCAATGAAGTGGAGGTAATGTCCTACTTAGCAGGGCTCCACCTGACTGGAGATGAGATTCCCTAAGAATGCTTTTCTTTTTGAGACAGGATGTTATGTAGCCCAGCCTGGTCACAAATATATACCCAAGGATGACCTTGAACTCTGGATCTCTCTGATGGGGTGAGAGGCATGCACCAATATACCAGGCTTCAGGTGACATCACAGGTAAAACAGTAACTCCGAATAGTTCAAACTTCAAGGTCTGAGAGCAGGTGAGCCACCACATGCAGAGTTGCAGGTGAAACCCAGGACTTGTGCCCATCAAGGAGGCTACCAGCTGAGCCCCATCCCACCTCCCAGCAAGTCTCTCCACCCAGGTAGCCCAGCCAGCAAAGAGCAGCAATAGGGCTTGAACCCATATCTGTAAGCACTTGTTTCCAGTGCCAAGGGGCTATTGCATGCACTTGCCGCTGGGGCCTCCTCCACTGTGCCCCCACAAAGAATACAGCATCTATGTGAGCTCTCAAAAGGCACACACCCCACCTTCCCTCCAGGGAATATAGTCACCCACCTGAGCCCCTTGCAAGAGCATGCCCAGCTTTCCCTAGCAGCATACCCACCGACATAAGCCTCTTGTACTCATCCAGGCGCTGGCGGTTAGACGCAATGAAGAGACCACCATTCTGGATCCAGCCTGTATGCATCCCAGTCTCCTCCTCCAGATCACGGCTCACCACTCGCCGCGTGTGGGCCAGAAGCTCCACCTCCACGTCACTGGGCCGCAGCTGCCACAATAAGCCTGGCCCAGCACAGGGCACCGTCAGTCCCGAGAGGTGGCATCACACCCACCTCTTCCAGACAAATGACGGGCAGCAATGGGGAGCCCAGGGAGACCGAGTAGGATGCAGCCTGCCACAGTTAGAGGTTAGAGCTATTCTGGGGCAGGTCCAAGTGACAATATCAAGGGTCCCTGTTCACATGTGCCATCTATGTGCCAGACTTGGTACAGAGTCTAGCTAAGGGTGACCTCAAGAATGCTCAGCAGCTCTTGAGAAACCCTGGCTAGCCTCAAACTCCCTAGGTAGCCAAGAATGGACTTGAACGCTTCCTCTCTCTGTCTCTGTCTCTTAAGTGCTGTTATGACAGGCCTAGGCCACCAAACCTGACTTGGGGAGGTTATAGGTAAAATTCATAGGCAGCAAACAGTTGAGTTCAAAGTCACAGAGAGGTGACTATGAGACACAAAACTGGCTGGATCCAGATATCCCAGTCTTCCCAAGATTGCTGCTTTTAGGTGGCAGAGCCTGAGTGGCAGAGGCCAGAGATGAGGCTGGTGTGACATGGAGAGGCAGAGCTTGACAGCCCAGCTGGTCCTGGCCTTGGGAGATGAGGTGAGGGTGGAGAGCCGCGGTTCTCAAGCTTCCTACTGCTGCAGCCCTTTAATACAGCTCCTCACGCTGTGGGGACCCCAACCACAATATTTCATCGTTACTTCCTAACTGTAGTTTCACTACCATTATTAATCATAATGTAGATAAGAAAGACACCCCCAGGGGATCACGGCCCACAGGTTGAGAACCACTGGCTTACAGGCAGTACACTGTGCTCTGCCAGACTGTGTCAGCTCCCCGTGGTCTAAGTTCAGCAGCCTCATGCTGGCCTCTTGACAGCGGCTGAGATACAAGTGTTTACACACACCATACTGGCAGCTGTGCACCAGCACGCCACTGGGGCTGAGGACATGCAAACTGTGGGTGCTTAACGGTTGTGCACAAGGTCAGTCAGGAGAGTTCCACAGAAGGTGCAGTCCCTGCCGCACAGGTCCGTCCATTCTCCAGCAGGCCTGCCTCTACCTGGGGCTTTCTCTGGGGTAAGGGGCTTCTGCTCTTGGTTCAGACAGCTGCCTGGACCCAGCTTCACCCCGACTCAGAGGGCCACAGGCAGTGCCTACCACTCTCCCTACCTAGCACAGCTCTCTGGAAAGAAAAGTCTGCCTGGCCTTCCACCCCAATCACACGTCTTTGCTCTCCTACTCTGCTGCCTCTCCCCACTGACCCCACCCGTGACCCACCCACCCACCCACCAGCACCCAGACTCCCACCTGCTGTGTGCCAGGTGGTCCCAGAGGTCAGTCGCTCTCTCTCCAACAGCACTGCTCGGCCCGCACCCAGCTTGGCCAAGTGGTACAGGGTCTGGCAGCCCAAGCTGCCTCCGCCAATGACCACAACATCAGCTGTGCTGGGCAGAGGCTGGCTTGGTCCTTGGCGCAGCACCGAGGAACCTCGTGTCTCCTCCTTCAGGGTCCGCTGGTACGGAACACTCTTCTCGGTGGAGGGCCTGGCCTCCCTGGCTAGGGGCTGTAGCCCCAGGTTCCGAGCAGGTCTCCCTTGAGGACAGGTGGCAGCTACACGTAGGGCTCGGCTCAGTGACGCCATGGCGACTTAGGGCTTCTGTACCTTGGGGAGCCAACACAAGGGTCAGGCTGGATGGGGTGCAGCGCAGACACCGTAGGAGCTGACTAAGTGTATGTCCGTGTAACTGAGGCTCCCCGGACTACATCCTTGGGCTTCTTTCTGCTGCTTCCCTAAGATATGTATTCGCTCACTCATTCACTCTTTCACTCACTCACTCATTCATTCACTCACCCATTCACTCACTCACTCACTCATTCACTCACTCGCTCATTCAGCATTGATGTACCAGCGGTCGGATATACAGCAGGCTCCAGCTGAGCTCAGGGGAGACAGCTCTGGGTAAGGTGAGGGTGTCGGAGGAGAGGGGTTGACATAGCTAGCAGATATCCCAAATGAGGCCTAAGGAAGAGGAGTTAGGGGACATGAGGAAGGGCACATGAGAACTTTTGTGGAATAATCCTTTACACTGTGTGGGCTAGGCATAAGAAAGGGCCCTCAAATATGGAGAGATACCTTGCTCAGCTTAGACACGGGGTGGGGGGGGCCTTGGTCCTGCCTCAACAAGATGATTGGACAGACTTGGTAGACTTCCTAGGGGAGGTCTTACCCTCTCTGAGGAGCAGATGGTAGGGGGGAGTCAGGGGAGCAAGAGGATAAGAGGAAAGGGGAACTGGGATTGGAATGTAAAAAATAAATTAATAAAGTTAAAAAGAGAAAGGGCCTTCAGAGGGACGCTTTGTGTCCTCACAGGACATGAGGGACCCAGACAGTACGATACTGAGGTGAGAACATCCAGGGCCTGGTGAGGGTCCAGCTGAGCTTCCTGAGGAGCTGTGGCCGCATTGATAGGAAAGTGCACGGTCACTGGCACAGGGACAGCCAGGGTCGCCACGTGAAGGAGGCAACGGGGCAATAGCCCCAAACTGATGCTGGCAGTAGAGTCAGCGGGGCCCTGGTACAGTTCCCCGGGGCGGTCCCCACTCAACCCCACACAAGCGACGGCTCCTACAGTGGCTCCCAACAGAAGCCAAGGGAGGCTGTGGTGTCTAGACACTCCCACCCCACCCTAGGCATCTGGATTTCAGATGGGACTCAGTTACTGGCTGAAGGGGCCTCATCTCTCTCTGTCCCATCCACAATCCTTCCAGCTCCCCTTAAGGGCTCATCAAGAGTCCCTCCTTCAGGAAGCTCCCCAACATCCTACCCACCAACATGTAATAATAAGAATGCTCCAGGAATAGTGGTACCCAGGGAATCTCCTGGGGAGTGGATGCCTGCCCAGCACAGAATAGGAAGGATGCCTCCAAAGGGTTTTGTGCTCTTCCCTGGGATCCGCAGGAAAAGCAAGGCTTTGGCTGTGACCCAGAGTGCTGGGGTGACCGTTACCAAGCGGCCAGTTAGCTGAGAAAGCCACTTCCATCCTCAGGTGTGACAGACAGGCTCTGTGACTGAATGATCTGAGGCCCGTGACTCTTGTCTCTATTTCAGGGGAAGAGACTTAGGCAACGAAAAGCTTCCTGGGGTGACCAAGGTCACAGGCCTCTATTTGGCTATACTGAGCATAGGGCGCTGCCATCCAAAAGCCAAACGTTCCCCTGAGTCCCCAACCTCCCCCAGCCTCGGGACTTGGATCCACTGTGGCACCGTATCCCACCTGTGAGCGCTCCTGAGTCCTCACTGGACGCAGCAGGAGACAGAGTGGCCCAGAGCAAACCGTCCTCCTCAGCACCTCACCCCAAGGGTAGGGCCCAGGAGTCTAGGATGAGAAGCCTGGGCGTGGGAGTGGTTGTTTTTGCAGACAGGAGCTGTCCTTGGCCTTACAGTCTCTCGGGCCATCCCTATCCCTACAGTGGCAGCTGCCAGTCTCCGTGGCTTCTGCGGATGAGACCAGAAGGTGTTCCCCTTGGCAGGAGTCCATACATACCTTTAGCCTAGATTGTCCTTAGTTTTCCAGAAGCTCCTGAGAGGGTCCTAGCAAGGGAAAGTCAGCATGATATGGACCCAGGCGAGGTTCTGCAAGGCCAGGCAGTGCCTCCTCCTTAAGACACCACACACCTGCCAGAGGCACCTCCTTCCTCTTCAGACTGTGCCCATTGCCAAAGCTGCTGGCCTGGGGAGCTGCCACGTGCCAGTCGTGGCAGGGGTGGGGGATGGGACAGCCAGGCCCCCAGCCTGCTCCTCCTGCTTCAGAACAGCTGTTTCATTAACTTGCCCTCTGGCCCCTGCGACTCCCTCCCTCGGCTTTCCAAGGATCAGGGCATAGGACACATGGAATGAGCGCTCGGCCACAGGACCGAGGTCGCAGACACAGGGCCCTTTCTGAAGGCTGCAACAGGGCGGAAGGAGACCCAGGGAGGGAAGGCACTCTGCGGAACCCACCCCCCACAGGGGAGCCCTGTCCTGCAACCCCACAGTTACCCATGGTCTTCCCACCTATTCCATGGTCCCTTCAGCCAGAGGCAGAGGGAGGTCCCAGCTAGCCAGCAGTCAGTTCCAGCCCTGCCCATGAAGGGGGCTGCCAGGACACTGCCCCTCCCTTCTTTCCCAAGCTGCATCTGGGTCTTAGGCCAGCCACACCCGCGCTGCCGGCCCAATGTCCCCGCCTATCACTGGGGAAGGAATGCACCTCCCACTACCCCAGCTTCCTGGCCAGCCTGGGCAGCTGCCAAGCGGGCAATTCTCCCAGCTGGCCAGAAGAGCAGGGCTGTGAAACCCGAGCATAGCTCTGTGGGTGACCCACCTCCTCAAGTTCCTTCCTTGTCATTAACCCCGGGGGTCTCCATACTGCTGTGGCGAGCCCGGGCATTCTGTCTTCCCGTGCTTGCCTACCCTGGCTCCCCAGAACCAGCTGACTGCATGGGTAGACCATCCTTTCTCGAACTGAGGCCCATGGTGAGGTCATCTTGGCACATGTATGTGTCTCCAACCCCAGCTTGCTCACTCCTGGGACAAGACAGAAAGTTCACTGTCTGAGGAAGCCAGCAAGGAATATGTGCTGACATCGAGGGGGCCGTCCATGCCCCCATCCTGCTGTCTAGGTCCCTCTCTCTTTCAGATTTCTATACCTGAGTCCACACAGGCCACAGAAGGAGACGGACAGCTGCCCGCAATCTATCTGCCTGTATCAGGGACATTGTATCCATTTCAGGCAGAAGATGCCTGAATGAATCCAGGAAGAACCAGGGTGTTTCAAAACCTCTGGATGTCCAAAGAATCAAAGGAGGGGCTGGTACCAGGTGGCTCCCACTTCTGCCCCAGCTGGGGCAGAAAGATGGAGGTTTCCTGTGCAGCTCTACCCACCACAAAGCAGTGCCCAATCGGAAAGGGACAGGGATACTGGGTGCTGGAATTAACAACTAGACACTTGTACTCTTACTCACGTGGAGCTGTCCAGCCTTGCTGCCAGCTTGTCTCTCACGTACATTTATTGAGCACCTACTGCATACGAAGTAGCTGCCGGGGACCTAGAAATACCTAAGACTCAGGCCTGGATTAGAGTGCCTTGGGAAACAGGAAGCAAAAATGGAGGGGTGAGGCCCCCGCATGGCTGACTGAAGAGCCGTTTTGCAGCTGGCCAGAGTGGAACATTATAGGGGAAGTGGCAAGGATTCTTTTGAGTAGCCTGCTGCCACAGGTGTCAGTCTATGTTGAAGGTTGGTTGTTCCTGGTCCCGACGGCTTGAGGCTTCTCTGGACAATGCGGGATCCTGAGGCAGGGAAGGGAGCTGTCTGGTCCCTTCAGATGTAGCCTGTCCTGACAAACTGGGGTCAGGCTGTGCTCAAGAACAGGGTGACAGACTGACTGGAGGCATGGAGCAGGCCATGGCCTATGTCTTTTTGAGTCCCAGCCTCAGTGGTGTGTGAGGGAGGGACACTTGGTCAATACAACCCTGGGGACAGTATCTGGGCCAGGCTCATACTCTGAGGTTGACATTAGCAGTTTCAAAGTTGTCCTGAAGGGACTGCAGCATAGTCACCTGGACTTTGGATAGGGGTGGTGGCTGGAGGCTGGGCCTGGTGGCTGGTCAGCATTGCAGAAGTTGTTGATGACCCTAGCGTGTCACCCTGCTCAGGTCAAGGAGAGTTGGGAGGCTGTGCCCGAGTGCTGGAGGGCACAGCTCACATCCAGGGGCTCCAGGGCAGGGACCTGGTGACACTTGCATGAGTGCAGACAGCTCTGCTCACTTCTCCTGCTACCCAGGCAGGATTGTTTCACCCCTACTCCATCCTATCCCACCCCCACATCTCATCCCACCTTACCCTGCCCACCTTACCCTGCCCACCTTACCCTGCCCATCTTACCCTGCCCACCTTACCCCATCCCACCTTACCCTGCCCACCTTACCCTGCCCACCTTACCCCTGCCCACCTTACCCCTCCCCACCTTACCCCTCCCACCTTACCCCTCCCCACTTACCCCACCCCACCTTACCCTGCCCACCTTACCCCACCCCACCTTACCCTGCCCACCTTACCCCATCCCACCTTACCCTGCCCACCTTACCCTGCCCATCTTACCCTGCCCACCTTACCCCATCCCACCTTACCCTGCCCACCTTACCCTGCCCCACTTACCCCACCCCACCTTACCCCATCCCACCTTACCCTGCCCACCTTACCCTGCCCCACTTACCCCACCCCACCTTACCCCGCCCACCTTACCCTGCCCACCTTACCCCATCCCACCTTACCCTGCCCACCTTACCCTGCCCCACTTACCCCACCCCACCTTACCCCGCCCACCTTACCCTGCCCACCTTACCCCATCCCACCTTACCCTGCCCCACTTACCCCACCCCACCTTACCCTGCCCACCTTACCCCATCCCACCTTACCCTGCCCACCTTACCCTGCCCCACTTACCCCACCCCACCTTACCCCGCCCACCTTACCCTGCCCACCTTACCCCATCCCACCTTACCCTGCCCACCTTACCCTGCCCCACTTACCCCATCCCACCTTACCCCGCCCACCTTACCCTGCCCCACTTACCCCACCCCACCTTACCCTGCCCACCTTACCCTGCCCACCTTACCCCATCCCACCTTACCCTGCCCACCTTACCCCGCCCACCTTACCCTGCCCACCTTACCCCTCCCCATCTTACCCCATCCCACCTTACCCCACCCACCTTACCCTGCCCCACTTACCCCACCCCACCTTACCCCACCCACCTTACCCTGCCCACCTTATCCCTCCCCACCTTACCCCACCCCACCTTACCCCGCCCCAGCATTTTCATTCTCCTGGTGGATTCGAGGGGCATGGGGGGAAAATGACAGCTCTAAGGGGAGAAAAGGGAAAGGTTTATTTCAAACTGCCAAAGTTGCCTCTCGGGGAAGGCAGAGAGAAGCAAGAGGGACGAATCTCGAGGGCAATAAGAAGAGTATCACTCTGGCTGGGCGGTGGTGGCGCACGCCTTTAATCCCAGCACTCGGGAGGCAGAGGCAGGCGGATCTCTGTGAGTTCGAGGCCAGGCTGGACCGACAGCCTCCAAAACAATACAGAGAAACCCTGTCTCGTAAAACCAAAAAAAAAAAAAAAAAAAAAAAAAAGAGTATTACTCTGGCAGAAGGGAGGGGCTGTGAGCTGGAGGGGGCTTTGAAGTGTATAACAAGTATTTGTGAGTAGGGTGGAGGGAAACTAGGATAGAATGGCCCTCGGTAGACTGATAGACACCACAGGCATATGTTAAAGGGACGGCAGTATGTGCCTTTTGCCAGAGATAAGGGAAATGACTTCTTTTGGTAGTAGGAAGCAGTTTCACAAGTTCCTGGGGAATGCTGGCTTTTATCCACCAGGAATCCTCCTATACTACAGGTTGAGTTCATTTCTGGACATTTGAACTCCATTTTGAAGTTTGGAGAATTGGGGTTTCCTTTGGACATGACACTAGAACACTATGAAGGAGACCACAGTACAAGCAGGGGTCACCATTGATCCCATTCTCTGGGGTGGAGGGGTTATCTCCAGGCCATGACCCTTCCAAGCTGCACAAACTCAAACAAGAGTTGTGACAGACTGAAACTCACACGTCCTCAAGACATCCCCCCCCCCAGACCTTTCCTTCTAACCAAGCTGGGCTCCCACTGCTGGCCAGCCTTCCAGGGCAGAAGGGTTGCAGGCTACCCTAGCCGGGTAGAAGTTCCCTAGCAGGAAGGTGCTGGAGGGAGGGTCTCCTGCCAAGCTCCACATGCGGCTCTGGAATAATCCAGAGCAAAGAGAGAAAGAAGTAGATTGAGCCTGGCCAGTAGACTGGATCTGGCCATGACAGAAGCAGGGACACGTAGAGAGCGGGAGGGAGGACATAGCAGAGTCACACGGAGAATGCGTAGCTGGGGGGAGGGAAACCCATGAGCAGGAGGAAAGTTAGGGTGGGGAGAAGGAGGGCTGGGATGATAGCTCGGACTTTGTAACATGTAACTGGCAACTTGTGATGCTGAGGGCGCCTGGAGGCCAGCATGCGCCTTGGTATGCTAACGAAACCAAAATAGCTATTTCTCCCTTCTGGCTTCTGGGATCTGGAGAAACGGAGTCTCCTTTGGACCTGACAAGGAACAGGTGCACAGTAGCCTGGGTGTCTCTGGCAGTCACTCTGGGCAGTGCCGGAGTGGAGGACTGACAGGGACCAGTCAACATGCATGTGTGTGACCTCTCAGAGGGACAGGAAGAGCCTCTGTCATTGCAGAGATGAGAAAACAGGCAGAACACAGTTCCGGGGTGCCGATGGCCACAGGCCACTGATAAGTTTCTAGGACATTGTTAGAGGCGTTGTTGGGGTCCCCAGTACTTAGTTTTTCCAAGAAGAACATAAAGCCAAAGGGGCTGGGGGATGGCTCGGTCAGCAAAGTGCCCCCTGCACAAGACCCTGAGTCTGATCCCCAAAAGTCCATGTTTAAAAAAAAAAAGACCAGGCACAGTGGCTCACGCCTGTGATCTAGCACCAGCTCCAGAGTTTGATCCCTAGGAGCCAGGTAAAACAAAACAAAATACCAGGCACAGTGGCGCATGCTTGCAATCCCAGCACTGCGATGCAGAGTAAATCAGGTGTTGGTAAATCGAGGACCACCCACATTCTAGAACCAGGTGCTCCTGAGCCACCCTCAGTGACCCCGAGGTCATCACCAGCTGTCAAATGCCACACATCTCCACTGTTGCCACATTTGCATACCCAGATCCCCCATAGAACAACAGTTGTGAAACTTCTTAGTCCTAATGAGCTCTGTTTATAATTGTGTCTCCTTTTAGAATAAGGAAGCAACAAGTCTCAAAAATATTTCAGATTGGTATGGATTTTTGTATTATGATAAAATCTAAGGTTATATTTGCTACAACATACTATATGTGATTCAACTTTGCTTTAGAATATACTCTATATGATGATAAAATTTTAAGGTTATAAAGGTCTACTGGTTTAAGATGTATGGCTAACTACTTATGTCTTTGCTAACTGTTCAACACCAAGCTTCTAGAAAATTTAGATAAGTAACAACATATGTTTGATAAATAAGGTATATTTGATAAATAAGATTTATAAATTCCTAAGTAAAAAGT